CTTTTTTCAAGGATCAGGTTTTTATTCAATTTTTTTTTCTGTTTGCATTACAGACTAAGGATGGGCGATAATCGATAGATTTCCACTATCGAAAGTTCAGTAGTATCGATAAAAACTATAGATAGTTTATTAACTTTCTGACACAGAATAAAGAGGATTTATTTTCACATAATTTTTATTTATTTACTTTAAAATTCTTTAATTATAATTTAAGCTTTATAATTATTAACATTTATATTAGATACATTCTTAAATATTAATGTTAAGGCACTAATAAAAATTATTAAATAAATAATTTAAAAAAATATTGAAGGGAAAGACATTTATATAGAAAAATAAATTGCATTTATTTCCCCGATCGTTGAATTCAAACAAGAAACATCGACGCATATAGTATTGTTTTAACAATTTGGTTAAAAAAGTAGGCGAGAAATGTTTGTGTCTTTTAATTTACAAAATTCTAAATTTATTTTGATAAAAACATCTAGTTTAAAATATAATAAAACTGTAATGGCATCCTTGTAGATTTATAATTATATTTTGTCTATGAAAAAATAAAACAGGTGAGGTAAATGTAACATTTTTCCATTGGCACAACTGCAGTTGTAAAAATATTTTTAAGGAAGTAATTTGAGATTGAATTATTTTTTACCTTGAAGACTTCATTTTGTTCAATTTACTTTCAGTTTTATATACTGATATAAAAGTATAGTTTTAAACACACTTTCAGACGTCTATCCATTCATTTTCTTAATGGGGCGTTGCCATTTGGTATACCATAATTGTTTTCCGTTATCAAACATTTAACTTTTACATCGTTATGTTATCACTATACCCCGTACATCAATAAATGGTTAAAAGAATGAAGGTGTAACATTTTCTTTTTATCTTCATATTTTTATCCACACCTGTCATAGTCTTGACAATAAGCAGATGTGATGTTAAAGTAAAGGAAATTGGCATTTTAGGCATGAAGAAGAATAGTACCCAGCAGCATCTCTTCCTTGTCTTGGTTTACTTTCTTACTTCAGGTAAGGAGATCTCTCATCCAGCTCCTCTTTAGTCGTCTCCTAATGGGCGTTTCAGCTGTGGCCATGTCGTTGATAAAACTGTTGTGATGACCGTGTAGTTTCAGATGAAATCGGGAGTAGAGAGAACGTATGCGTTGGTCGAAAGTCGGTATGTTAGGTTTTGTTGTTTACGTACCAATTAGCTGATGTTATTAGTCTTACATTTTTGGCTTGAAATGATTGTACTTTTTGTAAGTGCGTCTTTTTTGAAGAACTGTTAATTTGTGAGGCGTACGTCCATATGGGTTTAAGTAGGTAAGTGTGTGTGTTTAGTTTTTGTCTGATTTTCAGTTTTGATTTGGAAAAAAGTGAGTGTAGTATTTTCTGTCGCTTGTTCAAAGTCATTCGTTTCACTTTAACATGTCGGCCCCAGGTCATCCTTCTTTCGGATATTAGTTCCAGGTAAAAAAGCAAACTATCACTTTCTAACAAAATTATTATATACAACATGCTACTCAGACCAATACGGACGTATGCCTCTCAGGTGTGGGGTTCATGCAAAAAAACACACTTACAGATTATTCAAATTTTCCAATCTAAATTTCTCCGGTATATCACTCATTGTCCCTTCTATATAACTAATAAATCACTCCATAAAGACTTACAAATACCACAAGTGATTGATGTAATTAAAAAATATTACAAAAATTTTCATGACTCCTTAGCTGGACATCCTAATCCACTTGTACAGACATTACTAACAGACACACTACCACATAATCCACCAAGGAGATTCAAGCGCCTCTGGAGCAGAGATCTGCTGCGTTAAGAGTCATGTTAGGAGTGCCTTCACTGGGAGGCTTCTCCAATGACGCATTCAAGCTAATCCCGAAGAGGAGGTTCGCTAACGAACATCACATTTACAAAATATGCCAAAAGGCATTTGTAAAATTGCTCAATAAATAAATTTATTATTATTATTATTAGTTCCAGGTAACGTAGTGTGTTGTTTGTCTGAGGGATTTGGTTGTCGCCGATATAAACAGGTGGGCATGTCTCTCTTCGAAGCGTAAATGTTATATGTTGTGATTTTTCATGGCAATCTAATTTTCCAAAGTGAATACCAATTTGGTAATTGTAGTAAGTGATTTTGTAAATTCAGTGAGACTGGTCTGGGGTCGTGATGTTTTGTTAAAATTGTTGTATCGTCAGCAGTCAACGTTTCAGAGGAGGTAGGCATGTCATGCATATATATGATGTATAATAAAGGAGCCAATATTGATCCTTGAGGCACTCCTGCCGACACTGGTCGAATTGAGGAAGTTTCTAAGCCCTGTCGGACAGACAAAAATCTGTCGAAAAGGAAAGACTGAAGAACTATCTCATTTTATGTATGAGGTAGTATAGTTTTGAGTTTAAAGAGAAGTCTCGGGTGCCAGACTTTATCAAATGCCTTGGCAACATCCAGAAACACGCCGGTTACAATTTGATTTTGCTTTGGTCAACGGTAGTGGTATATCTAGAGTATTCAGTACTAAGGGGTTCTGTATTCGTGAAGTCAGTAAATGGTGTGAATATAGATAATAGATGGTCAGCAATTAGTTCAAACTTCTCCCTATCCGACAAACCCCATGAACCATCCGTACCATACAAAAAAGTCTAGTAGGTCTGGAGTTTTCCGCCGCAAAGCTAGCTAATATGTCGGTGTATCAGGTGAAATAGTGTCTAATGAAAGTTCATGAAGAGCAGCCCTCAGATTTCGTCCTCTTGGTGTGCATAGCCGTGATCTCCAAAATGTGTGCTATGCGTTAAAGTCAATGCCCGCTATGAAGCAACGCTAAAGGCTTTGAAAATAATTGCAAAACATCGAAGGTATCAGTACATACCTCAGAGGACAATGTATTGAAGCTATAGTTATTGTGTTATGTTTGGTATGAAGTGTTAAGCCTGTGGTTTGTATATCAGGTGTGGTGGGTAAGTAAAACGGATTATGTGAGAGTGCTGTCTTTATTAGTACAGCTGTAGCACTATGAGCTGTGTTGTCCAGATGGTCTGTTATGTGCGTAATGTATCCTAGTATATGAAATTTAGTTTGTTTCGTTGTTTAGTGTGTTTCTGTTATCAATGCAATGTCTGTCCGCTTTTCCTGTAAATATAAGGCCAATTCTGTCCTATGTTGCATTAGTCCGTTTGCATTCCACAGAAAGATAGACAAGGAGACACACACGCGAGCTGATGGAGAAGGCTAAGGAGGGGCTGGATGAATGTGTTCAGACCTTTTTTTCCTGTAAATATAAGTCCAATTCTGTTCTATGTTGCATTCATCCATTTACATTCCACAGAAAGATGTACAATGAGTCACAAGCGTGACCTGTTGGAGAAGGCTAAAAAGGTGCTCGATGAGTGTTCAGACCGTTTAATAATTGAAACAGTTGTGGTGTGATATATGCATTGGCTGAAGCGATAACTAAAACTAAAACTTAAATTAAGTAATCAACAATTACTTCACAATAAACTAAACAAAATTTACTTCAAATGAATGTGGCTTTTGTCATAGCCATTTAAAGAAAATTTTTGAGCGGATGAACTAAGCTATGCTGTTTTTTGAAAAAGCCTTAATTATTCCAATTTTTACATTCAATTACTAATATAGGGAATATATAGTAAGGGAAAATATTTCAATCTTGAAAAACTTTTCGATGGCCCCATGAGTTCAAATAACAAAGTCCCACAAAATGGTCTGTTTGTGTAAAGCCTTGTTCAAAAATTGTTAAAACTGAAATTACCTATATATGGTAGAGGTATTTGCCTGGGATGTTACAGCAACTTTCTCTCTAAATTTGATGGAAAAAAAAGTTAATTTTTATCATTGATTTTTAAATTTTCTTCAGAAACGGTACTTAAGATTTGGATTTGATTATTACATCAATATAAAATAAAGTTGTCTTTAATATCAGGCAGGTAGGATTTTCATTGAAATAGTCTGAAAGAGTTTTAATGGCGAATTTTCTAAACCTCTTCCTCTTAAGCATCTCTGATTTTGTTTATTTGAAATAATTAATCATATCACACTGTAACTAATACATAATGGTTAAATATAAACTATGAAAGAAACTGATAATTAAATAAAGGAGAATTATGAGCTGGTAAGAAGGTAACTTGAACCCATGAAGACACCGGAAAACTATGGGGATGACCCCAAATGTAATGTTGCATTATATGTATTATCATTGATGAGGAAACTGCAAGCTTCGATAATGCTATCTACATATACATGTCTGGTTTTCAACAATTAATTAATGTTTAATTATATAGATTACAGCAATGTGTTTACTCATTTTATTTTTCTGTATTTCTTTTTCTTTATTATCTCTATCTTAGTTATTATTTGTATTTATTATGTGAATGATTAACGTAGTCTTAATATTAATGCCCTTCAATGTGACACAATGTGTTAATATTAAATAAAAAAATTTAAAAAAATATAACAGCAATATGAAAGTTAAAACTAGGTTGAACTCATACACCCAATAAAAATATCCACAATGAAATATAAATAAATATTGCGGCTTCCTATATCACTTGCACTAGTCAGAATAAAAAAAATATGTGGCATCCTTATGATAAAATTAAAATAGACAGTTGTAGATGGAAATAGACAGAAGCAACAAACGCATAAATTAATATTTGGTACTCTCTATAATTTTTAATTTCCTTTGTTAAGGAAATTAAAAGCCATAGAAAGAGAAAAGAGGAGTTATTAGTACTCAAAGTATGGTGGTAAGTGAATGATGTGTGATGTCCGTACTACATCAGATTTTTTTCATTTTTGATCAGCCTACTTTTTAGCGTAACTGTGTTTGAAATATTTGAGGACAAGTGGCGACAGGCAAGTAAAGAAAAAAAAAAATAATAGTTAGACATTTTTTTTTAATATGTTAAATAATTACATTAAAAAATTATGAACCTATCAATATCAATATAGTCAGAGTTTTGATAAAAAAAATCTGTAACGTTTTGTCAAACTATTTCATAAAATTATTAAATTTTTATCACGGTAATTTCAAGAAAAAATAAAATATAAAAAATATTTATTCACATAACTTAATTTACAATTCAGGATCAACATTATACAGATTAACAATTCTATTTACAAATAATATACAAGAAATTATTCGGTAGAATTGCCAAATTGAGGCATAAGTTCATCTACAGGAAATAATCTCACAGTATGGTCATCGGAAGTGGTGAATAATGTTTTGGCATCCCTAAAACAAAGAATATTGATAAAGTTAATAAATGTAACAATAAAGAAATATAACTTCAATTTTTTTTTTAAATTATAGTTCTTAACATCTTTATGAAGCTCTAACAACCAATCAATGCTTCAAAGCCTTAAAAAAATCTATCAATATGTATAATGGAGGCTAATAAACTAAAATATGGTAATCAATAAATTGAAGATAAAAAAAAAAAAGGCTAGTAAAATTTAAATATAATCATTTCCAAGTCATTATAAACAAGTTGGTTAGTAAACAAGTAGATGTTAACTAAAGATTAAGTTGGTTAGCAACAAAGCAGATGTTAACTAAAGAATATCTACTCAGCAGGTTATGCATTCTTACAATCTTATCGAAGTCACTGCAGACCTTGACTACAGGTATACATTGAAACTAACTATACCTTTATTGAATTAGTTTTAATAATATAAGAATAGTTATTTGTCACTTTGAGTTGCCATTTGCCTTGTGAACTATTTTTAAAACTCTAATTTATTCGTTTAGTAGTATGCTTATTTTTTTTGTTTTATCTTTTGCAGATTTATTAATTTTCCTTTTTCCTAATTATTTCATGTAACATCTCAGATCAATGACATTGTAGTGAAATTCCCTAAATGTAAATACCAAACACAATTATCTTTTGTATCACCAATATGTTGTAATTATCTGCCATGTTGTTCTACAAGTTCCATTACTATTTATATTCGCTTTATTTTCGTCATTCTCTTTCTGTTATTTAAAGAAGGCTGAATTGTGAGGAAAAGAAATCTGAGAATTAAACACAGCAGATTGTAAGGTTAAACGCTTGAGAACAGTTATTAAAAATTTCTTTTGAGTAACCTTGTGTGTGGACAATATCTTCTACATCCTCAAAGAATATAGAAGAGAACATGATTAATGACCAGAATACAGGATCAACTCAGCAAGAGAGTCTAACCCCCCACCTGCTACGGCTAATTGGATTTTCCTTCTGAATTATTCTTTACAATTCTTCACTTCCCTAAAATTTGACAATATTTCAAATCTTTCGGCAGATGATTTCCTTCAAAGGGTAAATGAAAAGTGTTGGACTTATAAAATACCTTATGCTGATTTACCTGAACTATTACAAAGGATACCCTTCAATTGTTGCCGCTTAGAATTAGATCATTGGAAAAAGTGAGAGGATTTTGAAAGAGCCTTCCGTTCTGCATTCTTTCTTTTTGATTATCAGGAAAAGCTTAAGAAGAAAATAGATCAAAGAACGCAAGATCAAGAGATAGTTATGAACAATATAGTCAACATTAGAACATTGTTCAAATAATTGTAACGGCAGAAGCCTGAAGAGGAACAAATCTCACTCAAAGATTTACAAAAATATTTTGCCTAGATACCAATTATATACTAGACGATCTGAAGCCATTGCTATACTGATCGAATTGGAGAAGACTGAAGATAGAGCCAGAACTTTTCGAGCACCTCCAACTAAAACTAATAGCGTTTTCTCTGAAACTGTCTATGAACCTTCTCAAGCTTCTGGTATACAAGTTAAGAAGAGTAGCAAGATAGCCACTGTGGATCCTAATGCGAAGAAAACTAGGTGACAAGAAAGCAGCTTCCACAAAACCCATCCAAAGAAAGCCTGAACACTCATCATTTCCTATTTTGTATAATATAACAACCTGAGTTGTCAACAGTACAACCCCTCTGCTGGAACTGCTTTCATCAAACGGGACACCGTTATCCGGAGTGTTCTAAGTCCTGAACAACCCTCTTCTTTTATAGTTGCGGCACCTATGTTATCACAAAGAAATTTTGCCTAAACTATAACATGAAACCGATAACGGGCCAGTATAAGGCCTTACTGACCCTGTTTCCTTGACCAGAGACCTAAAAAATCAAGAGCATAACAACCTTTCTACATAATCTTTACCGGAAGAGGGATTATATGTTACATTAAGTCTAGGTAAGATCAATCTTCTGGTGCTTATTGACACAGCAGCCAATCATTCAGACATCAGTTCTTTAGGACTCTCATCTTTACCTCAAAAAAACATCACACTTACATATGTTACCTCTAATCCTGTCACAGTAACTAATGGAGCGTGTGAAACCGTTAATGAAGCTATCGTCTTTTTAGCCAGCTTGAACGGCCGCCAGGTTCAAATATCTTTTTATTTCCTTCCCAACCTGACAGTTTCTTGTCTTTTGGGAATGGACGCTATGCTGGTCAGGCTACTGAAGGGCTCTGGTGGTTTAAAGATATACCTACAAGTTGAGCTAGCTTTTTTAAGGATTTGTCATGAGCAAATAGCGGGAATTAGATAACTCAAGCCAGAAAAGCCAAAAGATTGGAAAAATTGTTGGAGAAAGAATTCATAAACACAGACGACGCCATTGGACTCACAAATCTCGCTGAACAACATATTGATGTCAGGAAGAGCCAGCCAATGAAACAAAGGGCATACCTAGTCTCAACTGTAGTTCAAGAAGCTATCAAATAGGACGTTGATCGCATACTTCTGGAAGACTATCGCTTTTGCATAGATAACCGCATGATTAATGCACTATTTAAAACAGGTGTTTATTCTTTACCTAATTTATTCTTATATGTCCTCACTGTTGGATTACTTTAATGCTTGTCGCCATCTATTTAAGATTGACTTGAAACAGGCCTATCGCCAAATTGCCTTGGTGAGCTGTTTGATTGAAATAACTGCCTTCGTCGTTTAAGGAAGAGGCTTATTTCATTTTAAAAGATTTCTTTTGGACTTTGTGGAGCTTCAGCCACATTTCATTGGCTGCTAGATAATATCATCACTCCTGATGTCGCTCCAGATTGATTCACGTATCTTGATGACATGCTCATCGCCTCAGCAACCTTCGAAGAACATTTGGACTACCTCGGGTTAGTTCTCAAAGACTTTAAATTGCGGAAATTAAACTTAATCCTGACATGCAGTGTCAGGGGTCTCACGCTCCCGAAGAAGAGGAGGTGTAAACGAGATTAAGGAAGTCTTTCTTCTTTTGTGTCTTGAGAGTGATTTTCAATTCCAAAAATTAGCATGTCATACTATTGGATATAGTAATAGAATAAGTACATTTTTTTATGAGTACTATTATCTTTATTATCTTTCCATTTATCTTTATATTATATATAATAATTATATTTAAATTTTCTCTTTTTCCTTTTGTTTTATTTCTTTTGCTTGCACATAGTATTAATTCTGTAAATAGATCACTAACTTAAAATACCTTTCATTTTTTTGCTGCTTTAAATATCCAATCTAACCCTTTCACCTGAGCTAGAATGGTTGCATAAATGTTTTATAATGGCCAGTTAAAATAATGGGTAAGAACCTCAAACTTTCTATATTTATCTCTTTGGAGACTAATGGCGAGAAAAGCCAGGCACCCAACAAGTTAAAATTTCATTAGAAAATTATACTTAATAAAAATTATTTTATTTATCCTTTTTTTTTTTTTTTTTATCATACAGGAACAAAAAGAATGACTGCATCCTGGCTGGAAGAAGACTGGGGTTAGAAATTTGAAAGGAGAGTGAGGGTTGTGTCCTTCTCTCCACTTTATTTTGAATGTAAATATTTGATGAATAAAATCATTACAATATATGTAATATATTCCTACACAAGCTTTGAAACTACAATTCTCATCTACTCTACAGTACTTAGCCAACTAACTCTTTCGTTTTCAACAACAGCTGTAATATCTGATTAACCATAAAGAATGTGTTTTTCTTATCCCCCAAAAATCATTATAGAAATGGAACAGGTTCGTAAAAAATTTTTAGAGATTCTTAATGTAAAATATTTTATGTTATAGTTTAAATACTGTATATTAGCAATATTAGAGATATTGTACAGCATATAAAATCATGTACTCGGTTAATAAGAGCTCAAGACATCTGAATTCTCTTGGCTACGCCTTAAACCAACTTTTCTTTTTTTTTTAAATACTACTAAGTGTATACTATTAAGTAAAAAAGATTTAAATACTACTTACTTGGTAGTGGCTAAATCCAAAATACTCTTAGAGTGTCCTTCCAATGTCCCTATCCTTCTAAGAGCCCGTATATCACAAACTGCAATTTTTCCTACTTTTGTACCTACATAAACTGTGTGTTTTCCTTCTGGCCAAACAAGTCTTGTCACTCCTTCCTCTATTGGAATGTAACCCCTTTCTTCCTGTAACAAAAATAAATCTACTTGTTTTAAAAATATTTAGGAGAAGTTAGGTCATCATCTGAAATATTATTTTTAGAAAAGAATCATAACTGAGGAATTCCTCCAAGAAAAGTCATATTAAGTTAATTTCCTCAGAAATAAAGATGTATATTTGTAAACAATTACAATTATCCATTCATATTCAGTATGAAGTATTTTAAAATAGTAAAAATTATATTTTAAAATAGAAAGTTAACTTATGGATAAAGATAATTTATGACAAATAATATGAAAAAAAAATTAAATTAGTATTTGTTATTACATATGAAAATGAATTTTTAAACATTCTATTCTCAATATCTTAGATTTTTACCGAGGTAATGGAATTTATTTTGTTAACTTATTTATCATTTACCTTTGCTAATTTAATTATTTATCAGTGAGGATCTTAAATAAATAAAATAAAGTAAAAATTAATCTTCTTACTGATTTAACATAGTCGTATACATGGAGAGCATTGTCAGTTGCTGCAACTATAACATTATAAGGAAGTTTTCTCGAAAAAGCCACATACTCAATAGACGTTGTAACTGCCTCACTTCCTTTTTCATGCTCCTCTACACACATGAACTGCTGTGCTGACTATAAAAACGAAAGAGCTTGATCATTATATTTTAGCGATACTTCATCAATAAACAAAAAAAAAAAATATATTGACCAAATCATTCAATATTCATAATTACTATCTATATAACAATAATATAAAACAGGAATCCTAAAACTAAAATTGGATCGGTGGGTGAAACATGGGTTAGAAAGAATGCTAGATGAGACCTAGTGAACTGCTTGAAAAAGGAAAATGTACTAAGAGAAAAGTAATACGAAGGAACTCGATACTACATATTTTACAAGCACTGATGAATTCAAGAGGGAGGAAAATGGGCTTCTGGCTGAAACCCTCCTAAAATAGAAAAATACTTGTTTTTCTTTTTTCTGAATTAGTTATAAAAACGTTTGTCCTCTTTTTTAATTACAACGTATGTACTTCAGCTACTAAATATAAGCAAGTGTCAAGACAAAATGTATAAAAATTACATTTTAAAAAGATTATAGTTCTTGTATAATAACCATTTATATATAAAAAAAAAAAGGGGCACAACCCCATAAAATCCTGGATCTGCTACTATTTACAGCAGAACTAAAATAAATGGAATTTTGAGAATGGTGGAGTGAGTCTGAAAGTAGCTGGAGGTAAATGAACCCTTTGATAAGGCAACAATTTCAACTGAAAAGGAACGGATAGAAGTTTACGGAAATCTTAAATTGGAATATAAATAAAGGGAGATATACTCGTCAACGTGTTATTAATACTCGGCCATTCTTGGAATTCCATTTAAAATTTGATTATATGATCTTGTGCTAACCCATCAAAGTGGGGTAACACTTGTAAAGTAGAACAAGGAACTGTAAATGAGTAGACTAAAATCCAAAAAGATCATTGAGAACTCCAGGTATAAAGCTACTGTTTAAGATTTTCAAAATAATTTTATAGCAAAAACTTAAACAATTATTATTAACAAATTAATAATGAACACTACAATGAATAACATACAAATTGTCATGAAGAAAAAAAAAAAAGAAATCTTTTCAGAATATATGTTTGTTTTTTTTACCTTAGCTCCCTGTGTTTTGAGAACATATAACCTTGAAGAAATGGTTCCAACAGCTACGAGGTTATTATCAGGATGTACATCCAGAGAAATGACTGTTTCTAACTGAATATCTGGAGAATCGTACTTCATGCACACGTTGCCATTAGCCAGATTAAATACCCTTATGGAGCCATCAATATAACAAATGACAGCCCTCTTACCTAAAGGAAAGATGCAACTCATTAATAATGTTTTAATAATATTATACATACATAAATGTAAAATAATTAGAACAATGATATAAATAAATGTTATGAACAAACCATCAGGCATAAAAGCACCAACATCAGCTAAATCCCTATGTCCTGGAAGCACTTTACACTCGCCAGATGGAATCTATACAAATATTAAAACTCGTTAAATACTATTTTATGAATAAATATGAAAGATCAATAATGTTATTAAGAGATGAGAAAACATACCTTCCACATGTACACAGAACCAGAAGACTCTCCAACAAGGAGAACATTTGCTTGAGGATGCCACCTCATCCACTACAAGAAAATTTAATATATATAAATATATTTACACCAAAATTCCAATAACCTTTAAACTTATAAAAAAATGAACAAAATGAACAAATCTCAACAAGAAAATGGTAAGCTTAGACCAAGAATATATAGCAGGAATTCTTTAGGTAACAGAAAAATTTAATGCATGCAAGTTCTTGCTATAAGTGCTTTTGAAATAGAAAATCACAAAGTGATATAAAAAATCAAAGCATCAATTTTAAAGTAGGTAAGATCTTGAACAAGTAATTTAATAAAGAAGGTTTTGTAGTATGGCAGGAAACAATAATTTCTTAGCCTAATAAAAATACCATTAATGGAATTCAAAAAATGCTGAAAGAAATCTAGTATTTGGAAATTCTTCCGAAAAATCATTCCAGTATACTTATAAAACAATTTACCTGGACATCATCTATTTTGGTATCCCAAACATCATTAAAACCAGTAGGCAAAGTCTTCCAAACTTGAATTTTACCGCCCATATCAATAGCTGCCACATATTTACCATCATGATTAAATGCAACGTTCAGTACAGAATCCTGAAAAATGTTCCCTTAAGTCTTGATAGGATCACATATATATGAATATATATATAAGTAATGTAACAAAAGGTTATAACTGAAAATAACAACAATAGTCATATTAATTGTCTGTAATTGTTATTTTCATTAACAATAATTATATATAAATATAAATAATTATACTGAAACAATTACTTACAACCACTGGATAAAAACCGTATTATTATAACTGAATTTAGTACTCCAACCATACAAAGCAATAATATGACAGACCATTAGACAGTCATCATACTCAAAGGCTTGTTTTTTTGTAACAAATGGTTTTACGTTAAAGAGCTTTAATTTACTTTTTTCTTCTTTCCTTCTCCCCTTTTTCAGCTAGTGTTTTACCGGGCCAAGAGAAAGGCCGAGAAATTAATGGCAGAGTCAAAAGCCCGACAAGGGAACTGGGATTCAAACTTATAATCTTCAGTTTATCAGGTTGCCAACAATGTGGATTTTGCACTGGTGTTAGCCTGCTCAGCCACCCCGTTTTAAAGAGCTTCAGTTTGCTTTAGGAACATAAAATATTGGTCTAGTATTAATTACATAACTATTAATATTAAACAACACACAATATTAAACTATCGAAGATTTTTGGCAAACAACTGCAGGCTGGTGACTGTCTCATTATATTTAGTAGAGATGGGCAAAAGGTAATCTGAGTAGAAAGAACAAATTAAAAAGTATTTTACTTAACTACTCACGGGGTTCGTAGTACTTTACAATAATTGAGTACTTTAATCAATACTCGGCTTGATGATTGACGAGTACAAAAAATACATAGCTGTTCTCATGAGTACTTTCCATTTTCACATTTGCTCAGAATTTTACTTTGACAACTTTTCAAATTCGACAAATTACTGGAGAAGAATATTTTATATTTCTTCAATATTTAAGTACTTTACAGCCATCGGATGATGTTGATTCACAGTTAAATATGTATGTTGAATCAGAGACCATAACCACAGCTAACGTGTTAAGCATAAAAAAAAAAAAATCCTGTATCCCTACAACCCACGAAGGTACTTTTGGGTTCAGTACTATTTAGGGAAAGTACTGTTTCTTGGTCAACGATTGTGCAAGATGATTTGACATAGATCACACTCAACCACTAAGTTTTCTCCCTTAACTAATTATTCCCATTTTATATAGGCTATGTGCACCAAGAGGATCTCATGACCCCAGGGACCATCCATGGCCGATGAAACTGAATAAATAATTTTTCTGCCATAAGCCGGGATTTGAACCTGAGTCCTTGAGCAACGGAAGCTCAGTGCCCTATCATTGAGCTACCCCATTCCCGTTTAAAGCATAAAGTGTTTGAAAATAATTATTATACAGTATAGTTACTACAGCAAAACTTACAGAAAATTTATCAGATTCCATCAAAACCTCCCCTGTTTGAGAATTCCAAATATATGGTTTTTCATCTTGACCACCAGTAATAACTATATTTTCGTCTTGAGGATGTATTCCAATACAATAAACAGATCCTATAAAAAATCAAAGATGAATTAAAATATCAAAACTATTTCATTTATTTATGAATGCATTGCTGATTTAGATGTTTCTATATACTGAACTAACTATCTTTTATCAGAAATAAATTATGTATAATTATAGCCGAAAACCTTGTCACAATCTAGCTTAATGGTAGATATGGTTAAAATTTATCGGTCTGACATAGAATCAGCTATAAATTAATTTACATCTTGATTGAATGGGCATACAACTATAAATGGAAAGTATTGATTCACATAGAGGCTGTGATGGCCATGGAGTTACAGCATTGCCTGCATTAACGTTCTCAAGTCTAGTGGTGCTGGTTTGAAATTTAGTTCATGGCAGATTCACAGATTAAATCTCAACATTACCACTTTTGCTAGAATAGGTTTGGTTGTAACCTCTAAAACTCTACCCCAACCCTCCCGTATGCCAAAAATGCTGAGGTGGGTGGCAAATAGAAAAAAAAACAAAAAAACAATGGTTCATACTCCAGATGTATAAATATAAACCCAGAATTGTCCATAGATGGCTCTAGTTGTCAATGTAGTTATCATTAAAATGCATTACTACGATTATTTTATTTCCTCGACAGCTGGCAAAGATTTTGGACTCACAGTTCAGATAACAGTATTGTTATAATAATGGTGAGTTTTGTGCCTACTAACTACAATTTGCAGACAGCATTAGGTTTCTGTTACTATTTAAAGAAAAGTGCTGCAGAATTACATCAAGTGATTATCAAAGCTTAAGATGATCATGCTCTTGGTAAATCACAGTGCTCTAAATTAAAAAAATAGTGAGTAGTAGATCTCACCCATCAGCCCAAGAAGATTAAAAATAAATTTGTTGAAGTCAATAAGCAAGTCTTATTGAACAAAATAAATTTCATGATGTTAGCAGATTTTAGATTCATGGAAGTCCGAATTGTAGGAAGAGGTTCAATGGTACTTCTTCAGACTTCAAAATCTGTATATTTATTACCCAATCACATGCACTTTTTTATATTATATAGGCAATCCAAAAAGGTTGCCTCTTCAGGCAAGGGCTGAGCTGGTCAAGCCAATCTCCATCCTGAAGACTCCAGCAAGCCATATCCTCTTCCACTTCACATATCAACTTTTTTCTGGATCGTCCTCGTCTCCATCTTTTCAGTGGCTGCCAATCAAGAATTCGGTTTGACCATCGCATGGCAGACATTGGTCTTACATAAACATACCACATCAGTCTTTGCCATCCCATTCTCTGATTGATGGAAATATGAGCTTATATTACCTTATAAAACTAGCAAATATTACCCAATTGAAAAATTCAGAAATATTAAAAATACATAAATAATTTAAAAAATGACAGCTATAAAGACTACATAGACACATTAAACAATAGAAATGGATCAATATGGACAACAACAAGACGTATACTAAAGAAAAAAGACCTTCAATACCCTCTCCGACGTACAGACAACACTTGGGCAATAACAAGCGAAGAAAAAGCCAATGAATTCGCTAAATATCTTGCACAAGTATTTGGGACAAACAGAATACAGGACAATAATTTTACTGACGCAATAGAAGAAGAATTGACAACACCACTACCCTTATCACTACCCCCACCGGCATTTCATCCAAAAGAAATTTACAAAGAAATCAACAGACTACCAAACAAAAAAGCTCCTGGCTATGATCTAATCACTCCCTTCATTCTTCGACACCTACCTCGAAAAGCTGTTTTGTTTCTTACACACATCTATAACTCCATTTTCCTACCTATTTTCCTCTCCTTTGGAAACTCTCCACAATCAAAATGATTGCCAAACCTTCAAAACCTACCACTTCTCCTTCATTCTATCGCCCTATAACACTTCTTCCAATAATGGGCAAACTATTTGAAAAACTATTACTAAACCGACTAAAGCCTATTCTAGAATATAGTGAAGTGATACCAAATCACCAGTTTGGCTTTCGCTGTTATCACTCTACTGTGCAACAGTGCCATCGGATAGTAGATGCTATCTCTGTGACTTTTGAAAAAAAAGAATATTACTCTGCCGTCTTTCTCGACATAGAGAAAGCATTTGATAGTGTCTGGCACAAGGGCCTATTATGGAAACTAAAACCGCACTTACCTTCCACTTATTTTTTAATTCTTCAATCCTACTTTCTTAATAGATTTTTCTATACTTCCGTAGACTCTTCTGTATCTTCCTTCTTTCCCCAACACAAAGGCGTACCACAAGGTAGCGTCTTAAGCCCAATCCTCTATTCTATATACACTTCTGATATCCCTGAGCACCCTAATACCACCATTTATTGCTTCGCTGACGACACTGCTATTCTATCTTCACACAAAAATCCTACTATCGCATCAATTGCCCTACAAAACCATCTCCATGATCTTGAAAAGTGGTTTGAAAACTGGAGAATCAAAATTAATAGTACAAAATCCACCCACATTAGTTTCTCTCTTAGAAAAGCCTCATGTCCACCCATAACGATTGCCAATAATCCAGTGCCTTCAAAGAACTATGTACGGTACCTTGGACTCTTCTTAGACAACAGACTTACTTGGAACATACATACGAAATTAAAAAGACAAGAACTTACCAGACGATATAGCCAACTTTCACATCTTCTGAACTACAGATCTTCACTTAACTTACGAAACAAGCGACTTATCTACAACACCTTACTGAGACCAATATGGACATATGGAGCAGAACTTTGGGGTTCAGCAAAACAAACACACATAAACAAAATACAAACAGCACAATCAAAAATTTTACGAAAAATTGTTAACGCACCTTGGTACATTTCAAACACTACTATACATAACGACTTAAACACCCCAACAGTAAAATCCTACATCCACGACAAATACACTACATATCATTCTTCAACCCAAAATCACTCCAATCCTCTGGTTCTTTCTATCTCCTGCTCCCTGTTACCTGAGCAACGAAGATTAAGAAGAAAATGGCCAAGAGACCTACTACATCAATAAAAAAAAAAAAAAAAAAAATCAAGCAATTCACCAAGACAATAAAAATACAACAAATTTGCTAGATGTGCAGGTGCAAATTGCATAAAATAAAAAAAAAATAAAAAAATTTAGTATGATTGAATCACCACTTGGAAAGACAATATTACTGAAAATTACATAATACAATTTTACTATAGATTTATATCCTTAGTCACTCTACAATTATTTCCCTGATTTTATCATTTAACTCTTACAATGACTCATGATTTTAGGTATTTTAATTCTAGTTCCTCTTGGATTTAAATTTTGAAACGAAAAATAAACAAAACAGATTACAAAGGCAAATTAGAAATAAAAAATAAATAACAAGGGCCACCAAAAGATGACAAAAATCTTTTTAAGTAATGTATATTTTTTTTACTAAACAATTTTATTACCTTAAGGACAAATAATAATTAACTACACCATATTATATATGTATATGGTTATATTGTAAGAGGAACACAATTTGATTAGTTGTTTTGTAGCATAAACAAGTCCTCTTCAATAGCTTACACAGTGTTAATTAGTAGTTAATTTACTAAATTCTCTATTCAGTAAATTAGTAAAATAAAAATTTTAAGCTGCTTACAAGTAATATATTGCTTACCTGTATGTTTTGAAAAAATAAAAGAAGCATGGTCGGTGGTGGGAATACAGGACATTTTCCTTTCAAACTCACTATCAGATTCATATCCAACTGCTTCTTCTTCTTCTTCGGAGGTAGAACTCATCTCTATTTCTACCTCCAAGTCATCAGTATCAATTATTTCATACTCCTCCAAGCCTTCGAATTCGTCATCCATGACTAATGATCTACTATTAGATTCTATAGGTCTATCACCGTATGTCATCCCCTTTCTGGAAATTGCACAAATTGTGAAATTGATTGATAAACTATTAACCTATGAGTTGTCAAATAAAAGTAGATATTTTAAATGGAATCAAAAAAAGTATATACACTAACATACAATGACACAAATCTGCAACAGAAACTGAAGAGTTATGAGAGTATGAACCTAATGCAAAATTATGAACAGATAAGATAAAAACAATATGCTAAAAATCCCCACTATTTGAGACTAATGTATTTTTTAGTAGCAATCAAAAATAAATCTAATGAAAGAGAATATTATGCAATATCAGGCAATACAAGGTTATTGGAGTATTCTAAAACAAATACCTTAGCTTGATAATTTCACAAATATATATGCAGTGAAGGTAATATACTTGTTATTTGAAAAACGAATATATTAAATTCAAAATTAAAATAATAAATGTGAACTATAACGCAATCATCATGATTTAATACATACCTGATAACAACTATATTTCTTTTAGGACTTGTAGAGCTTATTTAAAACAAACTAGAGGATATAAATTTGAATAAGTTACAAGATATAAAGTAAAACAACACGAATATTATTTTTCACTTACTTACATTGCAATCGTAACTATGTTTTCACATGCACTTATTAAATTAATTTAAAAAAAATAAAACGTGAACACCACGAAAATATCCAAGTGTAGTCAAAAGATAGATCAAGAACAACAATATGAGAGGGGGAATCAAGGTTTCAATTTGTGTATAACAAGGTCGACTTAGTCCACTAGAACGGACAATAGATGGAACTACTTTGATCTGGTTTAATCGTTATTCAACAGATAGCACAAATATCGTTTTTTTCAAATTCCAAAATCAATCTTTTTGGTAATACAAGAACTTCCGGGAGGTACGATAAGAATGTATATTTCATAATATAACATTACTCATTGACTGATTTCCTAAATACTAACACTATAATTTTCCTAATGCATGTACAAATCGCTTTGAAATTCTATGGTTAGTATGTAATATAACATTATTTAATATTATTAACGTTATTAAATAAAATTTAAGTCAATATTTAATGTAATATAGTCAGTTTTTGATCTAATGAATCATTACAAATTTTATATTAAATTATGAATTACTAGGTGTTCCCATGAATTAGAATCCTGCCTAGGTATTAATTTCATCCATGATACTACACATTGAGTTAAATGGAACTAACTATTTTATAAATATAACAATTTTTAAATGCAGTATCATATAGTATAGAAAAACAGTTCAAAGAGAGCGCTGAAGTTTGAAAATTTATTAACAGAATCGCATATCGCTTTTACCCATTGCCATTTTAACACAGAGCAACAATACTTATCAAACTAAATCGGTATGCTTATTTTAGGTTGGGCAGGTCTCATTTTACCGAAAAAATTTAGCCCATTTCATTAACAAAACCTCTATTCAATTAGTTTAGTCTTAGTAAACTGATTGTTTGCCCATTTCTACATCAAAAAGTAAAATTTCTTCATAATGAAACACCAAGAATGAAAATATCAAAGAATAATTCGATTTTGCAATTGCTTAAAGGATGAAATGTCACTTTCACACAATCATTATACCATTCTCAGTTTTGTATTAATTAACTTCCTGATGTATTTGTTTTCTTTCGTATTTTTCGTTAAATAGTGATGAATTTTATTTCCATTAATATATAATAATTTATGAATTCTGCACATTTTTTTTTTAAAGGAAGTACTACCCAAACGTCTCATCATTCCGATGTTATTGCCAAGCCAAAAACAAAAAGGTCCAAATAACGTATCAGGGTCAGAAAATAATATTGTATGAAAACCAATGAAACAAAAGGCACAGTTATGTTATTATCTTCCAGAACCAATGTCTCAATTCTTTTGGGAACAGCATGGGCTAGAATAAAGGATAGTAGCGGGCCATACGTTCCTATTAGGATTTTAATTGATTGTGGGTCACAACGTTCGTTCATCTCTTCAAAATGCGTGCAAAATCTAGGAATAAGAAGATTTACTAACCCGCAGGCGTTACGGGGTTTTAGAGATAGTCCAATAAAGGGTGGGAAATGCCAACTCGTTGCATCTTATTGCCCAAAGACAGTTTGTTTCATATTATCGAAAACGATGCCGTAATTGTTCCTAATATTACTGACAATATACCAACCAACCAAATACCAAGCAACATAAGTGATCATTATATTAACCTCTATAACCTGGCGGACAATTCATTTGGAAAACCTGGCCCAGTCGACTTTATTGGGAGCATATTTTTAACTGGTGGGTGCATAGATCGGGAAGGATATCCCAATGCACTCCAAACAGTTTTCGGTTGGGTGATAATTAGACCCATAGATTCTCACTCTATGGCACTATCCAGTGATTTATCTAAATCGGTTTCGCTTATTACATCGAATAAGGAACCCGAGGACACTGGATAGAACATCAGAGAAATTCTGAGAGATCGAAGCAATCCCTGAGGCATCTAAAGCAGATCCCGAAAATGTCATTGCAGAAGATTACTTTCGATCAACTTATTCCCGGGATCTAAACGGACGCTACATTGCCCGATTGACATTTAAACGACCGTTTCCACCTGATACGGAACTATTGGGTTATATCCGCCAGACGAATCATTCGGTCTAGAGTTCACAAATGAGTTACTTGCTTCAGATTTCGTTTGAAAAATTTCGCCCCTCTTATGTCCGACCTCCCACCCTTGAGATTCGAGCAAGCAAGGGCTTTTATAATCGTTGGAGTTGATTTCGCTGGTCCATTTATAACTAAGGAGTCAAATAAACGTAAAAGTAATTGGAATAAAGCTTAAGTAATAGGAATAAGCCACATCTCCATCCGGTCAGGATTGAATGGAAATTCATTTCACCTGCTGCACCACATTTCGGAGGAATGTGGGAAGTAAGGATAAAACCATTCAAATATCACTTGTTTCGAGTTTTAAAGGACTATATTCTTACATTCGAAGAAATGAACACTCTTCTCACTAGAATAGAAGCTATCCTCAATTCAAGGCTTCTTTATGTCTGATTCTCCCGATAATCTAGATATATTGACCCCAGGGCACTTTATAATAGGCACTCCCCTCGTTGCTGTTCGAGATCAGAGCCAAATTTTGTCGAAACCCCAATCCACCAATTCTCGCGGTGACAACTTTTGCAAAACTCGTCCAAGACATTTGGAAGAGATGGAGGAGCGACTACTTGAATCAACACAAGGCCAAATGGTCCAATACTTCCAGTACTTCCCCTAAACCTGCTTGCCACTTGCTTAGAACAAATCTTTCTTGCTGATGAAATGGTCTTCACCATAATAAACCTGCTTAATATCATCCAAACTCATCAAGCATTTTGACCCTCTTTTAGCAGCATCTTGAAATATTCCGTTCATCTGTCTACTATATATTCGTTTAGCCATATAACGGATACTGATCCTTGTTTTCTTTTCCGAAATTTCGGCACTTCTTTTGTCGTTCACTTAATGTATTTTTCCAATGTTTGGGTTCAATTTCGACTTTTCCTTCATTTTGAGAACAATACTAACAATCAGTTCCAGTTACCTAGAAGAATTTATAGCTTCGCCCTTTCCATATTTCTTTTGTGCAGAGAGATAAATGCATTTAATCTTAAAATTTCGTATTTTTTGTGATATGGTCCAACTTCGGAAAAAAATAAAGGTAATATAATTTATTTTTTTTTAATAGCGATATATGAATTTTACTAAACAATCCATCACCTATTCATTAAAAGTAGTTCAGATTAGGTATATATTATTTTAGTTAACAGATTTTAATAAAAAAGATATTAATATGACTCATTTCCGGGGAAGTATATACAATTTAAATTACCTCTAAGAATCAGTAAATATATAAAACAAAATGTTAAATTGCAAATATTAAATAAAAAATTCAAGATATTCTGCAAAGTATTTTTGATTTAAGTTTTATTACTTTAATGATATAATTTTTATAATGGAGCCCTTCTTAAGCGACCTCCGTATAGAATAAAGGAAGTTAAATTAAAAAAAAAATAAAAAAATAAATTAAATAATAATAATAAATTAAAAACAAAATTTTTTTGACAATTAAATTATTGTATTAATATTCGTTCGTTAACACAATCAATATAATATAACAAAAACGTTATTATAGCACTATGACTAAGCCATTTATGAATACTGAGTGGTGTGGTAGAGGCCTGAAGGCGCCTACGCCAGTAGCGCTTTTCTGCCGCTTAAGTACATTTTCTACGGAACTACTCCAAATATTTTAAAAAGTAATCAGTATTTTAGAAAGAGAAATGTATTTTCCAAATGTTTTATTTTAGGACGTTTTGCATTATTGTTGACCGTTTAATTACAAACGACGCCTGATTTTCAACTTGAAATTTTTTTGTAAAAAAAATTGACTTTACCGATTTTTTTTAATGCCTAAGCCAATTAGTTTTTAATATTTTTTCATGTTTTATTATTCTCTGACTATCTAGCTTTAATAAAAGACCAACTATGATGAAATTAAGCCAAATCCTGATTCTCAGTAACAAAAAAAGTAACTAAAGTCAAAGTTGTCAATCCGCCATGTTTGGACGCCATTTTGGGGCAGTTCGTTCACTTTTTTTTGTGGGAACATTGGCTTTTTTTTAATAAATTGTCACAAGGAACACAACGATATGCAATTTATAGGGATGTGGGGGGGGGGGGGGTGCACGGTAAGGGGGTCTGGCCCACGGACTAAATGCCTTAGTCATGTTAAGGGAATCTAACATACCTCCATTCCAGTGGCCAGGGGGACGAGTGATGGAAGTCCTCCCAGGTCGTGATGAGACAGTGAGAGTAGTGAAACTTAAAACCGCGAAGGGGAACGAAGGGGTTTCAAAATTAGCACCATTTCCATCTCCGGATTGATGTGAAATGTGTTAATTTTGTCCAGGGAAAAAAATGGTGGACGGTATGTTAAAACAACAGATTTATTTTATTTTTTAACAATAATTTGGTTAATTGTTGTTTTGGTTTGTCTCATAAATAGAAACTAAGTAATAATTATGAACTGAGCTGAGTGCTGCCAACTTCTACACTACCCACAGCAGTTCTACTGTGAAGAGACGTACTTCTCTCGTCGTGCTCGCCGCTGCCCATTTGCAGTTTTAATTATATGAGCGATGTATTGAACCTACGTTCAGGCGCTGAAGAAGGATTGGAGTGCCAGCGGTTCGTCCATAACTACGACCATCACCTGCTTGCGACCACGTAAAGTTGTTCAATTTTTATTGTTTTGTTTTTCGTTTAGTTTTGTATAATTCTTATTTTAGGGTTAATATATATTTGTTTTTGGGCCATTTACATATAATTTCTTTGTTCGATTTCCATAATAAAACATCGAAATATTTTATTAGATACTTAATAATTGCCTTTATCAGCTTTGTATTCAGCTTATCGTTATTTTCATTTTAGAAGTTATTATTTTATTTTATCTATTGATACCAGTGTAAAATTGATTTCATTTTATTTTATATGTTTTTATTATGAGTAGGTGTAAATGTTTCAAAATGCAGTCCACTTTCTTTTAAATTACAATCGACTCAATTTGAATAATAGTTAGGCTTCATTCGAAGTACAGGGAGCTTGACACCAGTATTTTCGGAGAAAATGCACGGACGGCAAACGGACGAAAAAAATCTTCTTCGTTCTTCGGGTTCTACGTATTCTGAAACATAAAACCTCAAGTTTTGAGTGAGGGTTAAGTTTTTGAATTTTTCTTCGATTGTTACAATTGTTAATTATTGAAAATAATAAACAGAAACTTCAAAGAAACTGTTCATATTTTGAAGTCTTTGTGACCGTGAATGTGAAGGTCGTCCCAACACCTCTACGTTCTTATTATAGCTATACCTTATGATTCCTGGTTCCCACTCTTCCTTGGTATGACCATCAATAAATAACTAAACTCGTGCTCTAATCATTTGTCCTCATCACAGTCCTCTACACTGAACTGTTAGAAGTAAATAGTAAATTATTACAATAGATCAATTCACATAAGTACCTATTCTCATTTTGCTTTTATGGACACTCGGTATCATTATTCTTAAAATATTAAGTTAAAAAACAGTCTGATTGATGGGGCACTATCAGCACTCCGTTATATGTGTTCCTACTATTGTGTATCATGTGTTATTGGTTTGATCAACTTGTAGATTTCGTCGAAAATCTCAAACTAAATTTCTTTTATGTGCGGTTTAGTATATGTTTAGACATTTGTTATGTTGGATTGGTAATATTGTTGCAACCAAAGATCAAATATAATATACATAGACATTGTGGAGATTAGGAAATGATAAACTAATTGATTTCGATCTGGAGACCAACAAATTATGGCATGTAGTTTCTCTAACTAAAATTTCAGTAATAGTTTTGCTTCGCTATTTACAAAAGATACAATTAGATAGACGGATTCCTTGTGTTAACTGAAATATTATTAAATTGTGTTAACTGAAATATTATTAATTTTTTAAATTAATTTTTGTATTCACGCAGAAGGAAATGGTATAAGTTGTTGAAAACAGGATTCATTTACTAAATGGTCTTGCTTCATTTCGAAATCTTCACTAAAACTGAATCGTTCCTCTTTGTAAGAGCTTAGGTAACCTACATTCTAGATTGTTTAGCACTGTACTGTTATTAATATTGTTCTTTCTAACGTTTTTCAGTTGTCTTGTACTTCTGGTATCGTTTGTTTTTCAAATATTTGAGATAATGGCAGCTAACAGAGAAAGAAGATCCAATGCTGGGAACAAGTTGAATAAACTTCTTAATGAAGAAGAGGAAGACGATTTTTATAAAACAACTTATGGAGGATTCAATGAAGTAGAAGATGATGATGACTACAAGTGAGTGATATTACATTAGTCATTAATTTTAGTTAGGGACTACACAGCTATTTATTCACTAAAGATAAACCTTAAATAATGTTTGAGATATTGTCAATTCTGCTTTTAATTCTCGAAAGACTTCTGCAGAAATATGCTATGATTTTACTTGGTAATCAATTGAAAAAATTATTTAATTTTCAGTTTACAATATTCCTATTTTTCTGATTTTTAGATCTGAAGTAGAAGCAGAAGATGTTGTGGATTCTGATTTTAGCATAGATGAAAACGATGAAGTTGTCTCAGACCAAGAGGATGAGAATGGGAAACGACAAAAAAAAGCAGTTGTAACGAAGGCATATAAGGTAGATCATAATAAATTTGTAAATATAAATGAAATATTTTTGAGTTTCCTTTTCTGAAATCTGTAATATTCTTAGAAATCATGATAAAGATAGCCCATGCTAGTTTCGAATGCCTACTACAAAATTGTGACTTGTTTCATGATCACATTGAGTACACTGCAGTTGAAGCCAAGAATTGACAATCATGTTTTGAAGCAGTGACAAGATGTGCTTGATTTATGTAATATGAGTATTATAATAATTAATAATAATAATAATAATAAAAAGGCTTAGCGAACCCGAAGGTTCGATGCCGACACCTAGGGAGATCCATGACTATTTGTGGTGTTTGGTGAACTAAAGATATGTGAGTAGGGCATTCAATCCTACGTCACACCCTCCAGCAAGTCTGGTGGGCCCCTACCTCCAGCAAGTCTGGAGGTCCCCTCCCTCCAGCAAGTCTGGAGGGCCCCTCTCATTGTTGGTCAGCGAGTCCTCGCGCGGGCTCATTACCGTGTATGGGGAGCGTCCCACGGGTGGCGGATGTGGGGATGGTCGGTGGAAATTCCTTGGAAGTTCCTCCCAGCTAAGTCTGATGGACTCGCTGACCAACAATTATAATAATTAAATATAGTAAATATACAGGATGTCCCGTAAGAAAGGGACATTTTTTATAGGGTGATAGCAGACTCCTTGAAGTCTAGAGCTATAAAAAAATTCATATAAACAATGGGCTAATTTTCATCAGAAAAGTAGCAAATCCAAGTTTCGTGATTTTTAAGTGTCATATTTTTTGTTGAATAGAAAGCAATAACTAAAGAAATATCTAATTTGAGTAATTACCATTTGCTTCACTGTAAACTTGACCAAATTTAATTTAAATCAAAATAGTGTTTGTCATTGTTAAAACCATGTAAAGAGGAATTTTGAGCAGCTTAATTCTGTTTATAAAAAATTCATAAATTACTCACAATTATTTTTCATCATCGTCCAATTATACTACAGATATTCCACTTTTAGAAAAACTTCTTCATTTCAAAACTATGCATAAACATTCCTCATAATTATATATTTTCTAAATATTTAAGAGGTAGGCTAAAAGCTGAAAAAAAACTTTCCATCGAGAACGTTTTTTTTTCTACTCCACTCAAAGAAAAGTCAGTAAAAGGAAGTTACGGCACTGTTACTGTGCAATAACTTGTTTTAATGATTAAATAAAAATGAAAGTATTGGTTTATCCTAGCAGCGATAACATTTAGGTTTTGTGTTAATTTGACAAACTTAACATTAACATTTGGCATACTATTACAATATTTAATAAAAAAATACATCTTGATTTCACAGTAAGACATGTACAATTTTTATTTTACTATATATTAAGAGATTACAAATATTCAATTTTACAAGTATTTAAATGTAGAAATAATAAAAGGAACAAAAAATGTTTTGTAAAGCTAAGAAATACTATTTTTACCATTTTTAAAAAATTCTAATTAATTTTATTTATTACCAAGCAGTATTATTTCTAACGAAATTGCTTGAACGTTCGTTTTGCTTGATCTCTTAAAACTTATTTTTTATATTTAGGGCATATAAAAAAATATAAATAGGGCATATAATATATTTATAAAAACTATTTAGGGCAACAATTTATTATTGGATAATTTATTTTTTGTATACAACCTGTAGAATGGTAATTGTACCTGTATAATTCATTATTTTTTTATTTACTGTTTCTCAACTTTAATTTTATTTATATTAAATGATATTACTGTATTGTTAATAAGTGTTTTTTATGTTGATTTCAAATGTAAAAACAACAAAAGCTTTTATTTAACATAGAATCTGGACAAAAAGGGTGTGAAACGTTATCTATTAAAAATATTAGAAGCTTAATAATTATATAATAGAAATCAGTAAAATAATAACTAAAGACGACGTATGTACACCATCAAATCAATATGGATGAGAACACTGCTACGTTTGATAAGGATATTACAGCAAACTTCATTCTTTCAAAGAGTTTTTTGTTTACCACAACTGACACTCTTTCTAAAACTTGTGAAGTGGGTACATGTATTTCCTCTGCACTAAATATTTATCGAGTCACCCATAGATAATTATAAAACAAGTTATTGTATGGTAATAGTGCTGTAACTTCCTTCTACTGACTTTCCTTTGAGTGAAGTGGAGAAAAAAATGTTCTCAATAAAAAAACAATTTCAGTTTTTAGTCTACCTCTTAAATATTCAGAAAATAGTTCGAACCAAGAAATTTCATTTCACTATATTTTATTTAGGTAGAAGTATAATAATAACAAAAATAATAATTTTAGAAGTATAATAATAGCAATAATAATGATTAATGAGGAGTATCTGCAGAGGCACAATAATGTGGCGAAAATTTTCCACCAGGCTCTGACTGAATGAAACCTGTTGGATGAAAAGGTGCCATACTATAAATTCAATCCAATAAGGCTACTTCAGAAAGGCTCCCTCAAGATGTATTGGGACGAATCTATAATAATGGATCATACAGTGCGTCACAACAGACCCCATATCCTTATTATAGATTTTGGAACAAAGAAGGCAAAGCTAATAGATATCGTGATTCCAAATGATAACAATATAAGCACAACCGTGGGAGAGAAGCTCCGTAAGTACCAAGAATTGGTGATCGAATTAAAGGAATTGTACCATTTGAAAAGCGTATTGGTTATATCAATAATAATATCAACAAATGGTCTGATCCCAAAGTCAACGGTAGCAGGTACAGACGTCTTGGAATTGTCCCTTGATAGCCCTGGAGCCAGGGCCCAAAAATCGACCTGATCGCAGGCAAAGCTTTGATTGTAAATTATGAAAGGGTATGTTATTATGATTAAAAAAAACCTTGTCTGCCGTTCCAGAGCCGCTGCTTTCAAATTTATTAGGCCAATAATTTGAGGATCGAAACGGGAAATCCATTGTAAAAAATGTGAGAAAAGTTTTTGTTTTTTTAACATGTATATATGGGTTTAGACATGTAAAAAACAAAATGGCTAATGCGGGTCACCAAGGGATAACCTTTTACAGCCAAAAAAGTCAGATTTTTTCGATATTTTTTGGGTTTTTCACCTGTAGCTCCTAAACAATGCATCGAAACATAAAATGTACTCTTTAACAAATTAAAGAACGTTAAATTTTGCGTCAAACAATTACATAAACATTATAATTTGGTTACGCCGTAAGATATAAAACCACGGTCAACCAAAGCTGAGTTATACCAAATTTGTCAAAAACTGAGAATAATTACTATAAATGGTCCTGTATCTTGGAAATGAGTTCCCTAAGTGGAAGAATCCATAGAATCAAAGTTGTAGAGCATCAAATTTTGCGTCAACTGAGTACCAACTAATTTAATGTAGGTCATTGGCTGCGAAAAAAAATCGGTAATCTATCGATGGTTAGAAATTGGTAATGAAGGTAAACCTGATTTTCAATATTATAACAGTATGGGTGTCTTTTCTAATGAGTTAGTTTTGTTTAAAGTCTGTTACATGCAGTATAAGCTTCTTTTCCACCTCTCAACAGCAAAAGATTTTGGTAAACCATGTGCCGAAATATTCCGAATTTTATAAAGGACTAACGAATCCCGATTCAAAATATATAATTGGCCTAAAATAAAAATGTCAGTACTCAATGGACGTAAAATTTGATGATCTACAACTTTGATTCTATGGGTTTTTCCTCTTAGGGAACTCATTTCCAAGTTACAGGGCTATTTATAGTAATTTGTCTCAGTTTTTGACAAATTTGGTAAAGTTCAGCATTGGTTTACCGTGGTTTTATACCTTACTGCGTAACCAAATTCTAAAGTTTATGTACTCGTTTGACGCAAAATTTAACGTCCTTTAATTTATTAAAGAATTCATTTTTCGCTTTGATGCATTGTTTAGGAGTTATAGGGGAAAAACCCAAAAAATATCGAACAAATCTGACTTTTTTGACTGTAAAAAGTTTTCCCTTGGTGGCCCGTGTTAGCAATTTTGTTTTTTACATGTTTAAACCCATATATACAAGTTAAAAAAATAAAAACTTTTCTCACATTTTTCGCAATGGATTTCCCGTTTCGATCCTCAAATTACTGGCCTAATATTCTTTAAATTGGCCACCATTTTTGAAAGCAGCGGATCTGGAACGGCAGACAAGGTTTTTTTACTCAGAATAACATACACTTTCATAATTTACTATCAAACCTTTGCCTGTGATTAGGTCGATTTTTGGGCCCTTGGCTCCCAGGGCTATGATGTGTTAAGAGAGGCTCAGCAAGCAGTTCTCTTGGATACAGCCAGGATTACCAGAAAGTTCTTAAATATCTAAAAAAATTATAACTGTAGGTAGTTGGATTTGTCCTCCACCTTCTGCTTTGAATCTGCAAAAGCGAGAATAATAAAGATAATAATAATGACGTTTTCTATCAGTTAAATATAAGTTGTAGTGAGTGTAAAGAAGAGTTATGGGAATAAGGAAGGGACCTTTATCTCCACCAAATGTCCCCGTCTAGTAGAAGGGAGCTTGAAGCAATGGACTCTGATCTGAGACAGTTAAGAACAGTAAGGGAATAGTAAAGTATAAGAGATGTTTATGCATAATTTTTTAATGAAGTTTTCCTAAAAATTGGGTATCTATAGTATAATTGAATGATGATGGAAAAAATCGCAAATAATTTATGATCTGTTTAAAAATACAACATAGCTTAGTTTTAACCACTCAAAAGCTCCCATTAAATGGTTTTAACAATGATTAACTTTATTTTCATTTACAGTAAATTTTGTCTAGTTTACCTAGTCCTGTCATAAATATTGTTACAAGAAAATATATACGGACTCAACAGAAAAATTAATTTTTTCAAAAACTTTATTATAAAATAAAATGTATATATATAGAGAGTAAAACAAAAAAAGAAATTACTCAAAATGTCCCCCTTTTTATGCCTTGACACAGGCATTTAATCTCCGTGGCCATTCATCAATAGCAGTATGGAGCACTTCTTGAGAAAAGTGCTCAACTGCTCGGACCAGAGATTGTTTGAGGCTTTCCAAGTTAGTGTGTACTCTGTGGCATGCCATTCTCACCAGTTCGGACCAAAGCCGATAATCTAGTGGGTTGAGATTAGAGCTTCCTGTGGGCCAATCCAAGGCGGAGATGAACTCTAGAATTATCTTTGGCAGTCACTGCTGAATTGACTTGGCCTTGTGAGCTGGAGCGGAATCTTGCTGAAAAACCCAATGACTTCCAACAAACAGAGTATCATTTAGAGGCTTAACAACAGGTTCCAAAATATAGTCCTTAGTTTTTAGCCGATGTTTTAACTCCTTTTTCACAAAAATGGAGCTTTGTGGTGCCATCAAAGCAAACTCCCCACCAAACCATCACTGAGGAAGGATGATGACCTCTTTCCACTCTTCCAGTAACTTCCTGGGCTTCTTTAGAGCTGTGTGCGTACACACGATCATTTTGGACGATTAAATTTTTCTTCAATTGTAAAAATTTTCTCATCGCTAAACAAAATCTTTCGATGAAGACCATTGGTGTAACGGCCAAGGAGCACTTTGAATCTGTCTACTCTAATTTTTTTTAGGGAAGTGGTTAGCCTTTGTCTTTTGATTCTTCGAAATGCACCCATCCTAAGGTCACTTTTTATTATGCGAGACATTGATCTGACAGAGATTCCCATTTCCCGGGACATGATTTGTTGTTTTCTGATTTGAGAAGCCACTGCATTTGCGTTTTCACAGTGTGGGAACGGACCGGTTGAGGTCTGTCACATACAGATAGGGTCTCATTATATCTATTTATAGTGTGATACATGAACACCCACTCCATGTTAACTGAATGAAAGAAAAATATAAACTAATTGGGATTATTATTCTGACATGTAAAGAAAATAACCTGATAGAGGTAAGGATTATTAAATAATACCCAAGGATGTAAACAAAGTTCAACTTTTGTAACAGTATTTATGGCAGAACTAGGTATAGTGAAGCAATAGTTAATTACTTAAATTGAATATTTCTTTAGACTATCGCTTACTATTCAACAAAAAACACGACTTTTAAAAACACAAAACTTGGCTATGCTACTTTCCTGCTGAAAATTGGCCCATTGTTTTTAAAACAATTTTTGTAGCTTACGGGACGCCCTGTATAATATAAGTACAAAATAAAAATTGTGGTCATTTTATAAAGTTCTCTGGCTAGATTTTTATGTGATGAAAATATTTATTTTAAAACAATGGATGTCCTATAAAAACATTTAAACATATCTGTTTCATAACTAGTCAGATCCACTATAGGAGTGTGCTCCCCGAAGTTAGGAAGTCAGCCCATTGATTCACATTTAATCAATCTAGTTGACCCTGAAATAAAATCAGCTAGGTGGATGAGACATGATTCGACTAGCTGACATGCTTAGTCCAGGGAATACCCCAAGGGATAATCACTTTAGCAGCTATCCCATGATTGTGAGAAGCCATAGTAATTAAGCTAGGTATTAAATAAGGGATCCCTTACTAATTAATTGAATCTGTTGGTGTTCATATAGTGATAATGACTAATATTTTGGCTTATCTGTCTTTTTCTTTTATCCATCAAAGGCTATGCAGTTTCACTTGGATTATCCTCCTTATTGCTGAATAAACGTACCTATCAATCATCTAGAGATCAACCTGTATAGAAATTTGAGCTTATACAGATATGGTATAGAGGTGTACCAATGAAACAGACTTTTGACCTTTCTGCATTCGCTTTTGATTATATCATCATATAATCAGATCCAGTTAGCTACCTAACTCATCTATTAAGTTATGGAGTGTTGGAACTTATGAGATAATGTATTAATAATGGTCTGGGGTGGCAGTCATAAAAAAAACTCAAAATAGTGGAAATAATTTTATTAAGCTGTCATTTTGACCCAGCTATGCAAATCTTTATCAGTGCTATAAGATTATGAATAAGATACAAATACATACATTGATTTTTCTGATATGTGTAATTAATATTTCAAATGTATCCATTATATTTACTCATTGTCAAAAAAAATCATTAAAAAAGGAAGAAAGCTTTGAACTATATTTTCAATTATTCTTTAGGACCCCAAGTCAGTGAAAAGAAAGGCAGAACCTATCAGAAGGAAAGATGCTAGGCCAGCTAAAAGACAAAGAAGATCAACAGATACTCCAAAAACTATTCTTCCTTCAGGTGATAAAATATAAATATGAATAATATTTCTTTTTATACCCTGATATAAAAGATATAGCTTTCTCTTTGTTCCTACGCACCCGTTCTTACCCTCTTTGACCTGACTGATATGTTATATAAAAGAACAATTGATATAAATGAACTGCTTTATAAAAAAAATACCCCAATAATCCACAAACAAGGAATAAAGGGCATGATAGACAGCTAAAAAGAATAATTAGCTTAAAATGAGCCTGTTATAATTTGACTTGACGAAGGCAGAAATAAATTTATTTATTTATTTTAATCTTAAAGTCAAATAAATTTTTTATAACTTGTGTAGTTGATCAGGACTGTCAACATTGGAAATTGAGTGTGGAAGTGATTATCTATGAAGCTTGCATTTTATTTGATAATATTTAAAATATCGAAGTCAAGCGATTACCTTATTTCATTTTCATGTATTTCCTTTTTTTTCCCATTAAATTGAGTTTTTATGAATTAAAATAATAGAATCTGAATTTTGTTATTTAATATTGCAATGATATATTTTATTTTAATTACAGAACGAAAATCTATTCGAAAATCTACTGCTGTCAAATCTGCAGCTACTGCTCAAAGACTAAAAGAACGTAATGCTGTTGGAAAGCGTCGGAAAATCAGGCACTATGATAATTGGAAGCCAACTCAGGAAGAATTATTAGAAGAGGCTAAAATTACTGAAGCTGAAAATTTGAAATCTCTAGGTATTTCACCGTATTTTTTATTTTATTTGTTGGTCTATTTTAGGACTTCAATATGAAGGGCATTATTGGTTTTATTTTTCCCTTACCCATTAAAGTTAATTAATTAATTAATTAAAGTTATTGTCCTTGATACTTATAGCGGCTCTATAGGAGCATTATAATACCAGGTAATAGTGTAATGGAACAGGTACTCTATAATAGTGTAATAAGGAAGTATCCTACTGGTAATCAATCTATTCTAGCCAGAGTGGAAAGGTTGAGATTCATTCCTTGGGTCTGGTACAAAACAACCTTCAACCCATCTAGGTTTGATTTAAGGTTGCCAAGGTGATGCCTTAACACTCTCGGTCATCATGGCCTCAGGTTATTCTCTATCAAATCCATTTCTACTGATGTATTAATGATAAAATATATTATATTATATTATATTGTCTAATCATTTTGCAAGAAGTTCCTGAGTTTAAAATTACCTTTGGCAAATATTTTCTTGAGTTTGTATTGCTATCAAAATATAGTTTATAAAAAATACTTGTTATAAAAATCTTTATCTTGATTTATAAATTTTTTTTAATAATTTTGTTTTGTATTATTTAAAATTAAAATTATTGGTATATTAATGGTTAACTTCACTGTGCAAGTTATGCAGTTTGAATTGAAACAAAATAATAATCAGGATTGACCGCATATTGTAATAACTTATTTATTAATTCTATTTGTTTATTTGAAGTGCGCTTGAAACATTAGTGCGGACCTTGACTTGATATTTTCAAAAAGTTTTCTATCCTTTATAAATAGTTACCATGATCGATAAAATTATTGTTTTAGAATGGAGAAAATAACACAGCAGAGGGATTTAGAATCAGTGGCAGGAATAGTTGATTTTTTTTTTTGGCTTATAAATAAAGCTATTTAGTATTTTGGCTTATAAATAAACTTTATATGTAGTTTCATATATATTTTATGAGTTCTTAAAATTTGATTGTGTATAGTAGTTTATGAAGATAATAATGCATTCAGAATTCTTTTAATGTTGAAAAATCTGTAAAAAAGTTATAATTCACATAAAGATTTTTATTTAAATTAAATTAACTATTTCATATTTTTAACCAAAAAATTATTTTCCATATGAGTGGTCTCATATCATAGATGGACATCTGCCATTTTAAAAAAAGAAGATAATTTTAGTAACATAGCTTCAATTCCTGATGATTTTTTTTCATAATTCAACTTGAACATTTTTCAATAAAATCACCAGAAACAGTGTGAGATGAAACTGTAAAACAAAAAGTGACTTTTTCTCCACTTTCTGAAAATGACAGATGTCCATCTTTGATATGAAGTCACTCATATAATAAATACATTACATAGTCATAAAACAGATTTATAACCTTTTTTTAAAATTGTTATAAAGCTAAGTTAACAGTTGCTGATGAAGCATATATGCATTACACTGACAGCATTTTTATTATTTTATCTATTTTTTTTCTAGAAAAATATCAAAAAATGGAATTAGAAAAGAAAAAGTGTCGGGTTGTCAAAAAACATTTCGTTGGTCCAACCATAAAGTATCATTCTGTATCAATGCCACTAATAACAGAAATAGAAGAAGATAATAATGACAGGTATGGTAACAGTTCCTATTTTATTTATTTTGATTTTTATAGTTTGTTACAATTTTTAAAATAATTTTACAGTAAACATGTTGGAGCTGAGGTAGAAATCAAGACCGATGATGATGGTCCAGTTCTGATGAATGGGCATACAGAAATGGAAGTTGATATGAATTCTACACAAGATACCAAAATACAAATTGATGATTCTAATTCAAAAGTAGATTCTTCCCTTCCTCAAAGTTCAGAGCAAATTGCCAAACCTCCTCTTCCTCCTACAACTGAAAGGTGTGAAAGAACTTTTATAACATTTAGTGATGAGACAACTTTCAGAAAAGCATTTCCTGACAAGAAAGCACTTCACCTAAAGGAGTCTAAGATGTGCCCTATAACTAGGTGAGCAATATTTTATAAAATCTTGTAAATCTATTGGAACTACATCAGTTCTTGATGTTGTGCGTTGAAATCTTTAAAACATAATTTATCCCTACTTAATCTGCCGACTTTTGAATCTTCAATTTTTTCAATGACTATTCTTGTAGTTTTAGTAAGGTTTAAAGTTTTAGAATCGATATTTCTCTATGAAATTAATTTTTGTTTGCTACCTCATTCATCAAACTCTATCGCTCCACTTCTTCAGAAAAATCATCTATTATACCTGTGATATGTAGTGTTGGTTTGTATTTAATGACATTTATTTTTAAAAAAACTTCTTCCTTAGCACTACAACCATTTGGAAGCCAATATCTTGAATTTTTGCCTGCCATAGTCCACAGTACTGTAGGCAAAGATGCAATGCTACAGTAGTTATCTGCAGATTACAGTATTGTCAATGCTGTCCTCCAATCAGAGGATTCACTAGATCAGTGAATCTCAATTGGCTTTACTGTTATTGTCTTCAGTAAGAGCCTTTGTATTCTATATGTTTATCACAGGGATTTTGAATCAGCACCTCTGACATAAGGCCTATTGTCACTGACATATCACTAAAAAAAAAAAAGTCTCTTAATTAGGAAATAAATCCATTCCTAATTGTTAATACATTGCACAAATAATATTTACTATTCTCTCCTCACCAATAGTGTGGTTTTCTTCAGTAAACAATTTCTTCCCTGGCCACCAATTCTCTTAAAGAGTTATTTTATGTAAATTGTATTCTTTAATCCCATTTTGGACGTATTTTAATAGTCGGCTGTGTTTAAACTTGTAACATTTCACATCCCTATACTAAAATCTTTATTTTTCAATCTCCACAATCAACCCATGAAGCATTCCCTCCCTTGGACCCATTGTAAACTACAATGGGTCCAACATTGTAAACTAGTTTACAATTTACAATGTCTTTTCCAGTTATCTGCACGCAGCTCTATGGCATCTTTGTTGATTTTATTTATCTATCTGCTTTTTGGACTTCCATGTGGTGTTTTGCCTTTTATTCAGGCATTCATTGTTAGGAATAGGCTTCTAGATGGATTGCTATGAGCTAATGTTCCGCCCATCTTAACCTCTGTGCCTTCATATCATGGAATATTGATTGAACATTTTCTGTAAGCAGTTCTTTATTGGTCTTTCTTCTCCATATGTTTGTACTCTGATCCCAGATCGCTCGGGTTATCGTGCGGAGGATTTTCATCTCAAATCTTTCAATACTTTTTTCTATGGTGCTGGTTAGTGTCCAGGTCTCACAGCCATATATTAGAACTGGCTTTATCATAGCATTGTACACTGAGATTTTTTGGGATTTTAATACCTTTGAAAGAGAGAAGAAACCTCTGTATATGCTTTTTTTTTTTTTGGCTCCTTCCCTTCCTCGCCGTTAAGGCTATACGGGCTTTTCCCGGGCCAAGGGGTGTGAGTGGGGATTTAAAAGACTCTCCCGGCACCGGGACGCGAACTCGTGACTATTTTTATATCTTTGAATCTTTGATTCATATGTCAGGTTGCCGGGCAACGGTGGTGCAGTGCACATGCTTTAGCCCATTTGGCCAACCCGCCCACTCCTCTGTATATGCTGGTCTATTTCTGACCATTGGTCATTCACTGAGGTTATTGTGGAGCCGAGGTATTTGAATTTTCCTACTCTTGGGGAACAATTTCCCTTCTATACAGACGCTGTTATTTGGGTGGAATTTTCGGCTTATCATATATTTTGTTTTATCTTCATTTAGCCCAGTCAAAAAAAAAGGGGTATAGTTTGCAAAAGGTTGAGTAATTAAAATTTCTTTTTTATATTGTTAGGTATGTAGTGAATATAGAAAATCCAAGTTTCTGCACTTGTGGATTCGCTTCAGTGCTCCAAAAACCATTGAAACTTTTTTTGTTTACGCTAAATATCTCCTTTTTAGAGTGACATAAATAAAAAATTGTTATATTCAATCTTAAAGAACTTAAAATTATCTAACATTTTTTTCTAAACTCAACAGGAAGCGAAACTATCAAGCTTTCAATCTTACCATTTCGATTTCTTCGCAATAGTACAGTTTCTCTTTTGAACGGAACAATTCTGTAACTCCATTTTGAACCTTGTCCAGAGAATTTAGTCATTTTCCTTGAGAATACCTTAAGTAAAGGCTCAAACAATGGCTAAATGTAATGTTTTGTAAGCTGTGGTATGTATATCATTTTGTTAAAACAAATCAAAAAAGTATTCATAAACTATCACCTACCGGAGATTCAGTTTACTAGTTTAGTTGTGTGTTGTGCGCACCAGATTTTTTTTTTACTTTTTTCCACTTATTTTAATGAAATTGGTCATCAATATGTACTGTTACTTTTAAATGAACTTTATTCTAACACATTTTTGTAATAATTAATATTATCCAAATTATATACCTTTGTGTTCTTACGGGGTATCATCTCAAGACTGTTCGATTTCTTCACAAAAAATTTTTTTTGGACAATTAAATTATTTTATTAATATTTGTTTTTTAATCTAATCAAAATAATATATCAAAAAGTTATTATAACACTACAACTATGCAGTTTATGAATACTGAATGATATGGTTGAGGACTTTAGGCGCTCACTTCTTTTTAACATTCTGAGACATCATATTTTAGGAACTACATTATCCTATTCATTCTATGTCTAATACTTACTTTTTATTTCATTTTAGTTAGTTTTTATTTTCATTTTACTTTTTACTCAGTTTTTATCTCATAATATTCCATTGTATTTCTTTGTTAATTAATTTTTTTATTCCTTTTGTTACCTAATTTCATTATGTTTATTTCATTAGTTCCCAATATTAGTTTATTTAAATAAGTTTATTTCATTAGTCCCCAACTTTGTTGCCGTTAATATTTATTTCATAAGTTCCTCTCTGTTACTGTTATTAATTTTGTTATATGTTCGTTACATTATTATTATTAATATTATTTTTTTTAATAAGTTAATAGTTTCTCATATTGTTACCTGGTCTTTCCTTAGCCCTGATGAAGGCCTGAACTTTGGGTCGAAGCTTCGGCAAATATAAAAATAAATATCATTATTTATTTTTAATTTTTTTTATTGAACACCCCAACTAACTTCTCTTCAATGAGACATTTATTCTATGGTTTATAAAACACAGTTGGTTAAGTAATCATTAAGTATTTAGTTTAATATGTTCAATAGTATTTATTAATGAACAAATACTGTTTATAAATATTTGCATAATTTTTCTTCTCATTATTTTACTCCAATCAGAATGAAAAAAAGTATTTGTACTTCTATATTAGTACTTGCATGTTATCATGAATTTCAATAAAATTTGTGGTTTTAGGTTACCTGCGAAGTATGTTGATCCAAGGACAGGCTGTCCATTCCGTAATGTTAGAGCATTTAAAGTTATAAGGGAAGCATATTATTCTCAATTGGACCTGAAAATAGCTAAGGGCACAGTTGAAGGTTTGGATCCTGTAGAACTGGAAAAGTGGATTCCTTATAGGGCCAAGGTAAACCAACAGAAAAATGCTCATTCCGCGGGCAGGCTAAGATTAGACCCAGCCAGCCTCCAGCTTACTCAAATCAAGGTCTGACAAATGCTTCCAACAGTGGCTTCCACTGTTTCTTCTGCACCGATTCTCCATATTCTGCAATGAATTGGCTTTGGATAGGAGTTATTCTTTAATGGAAAATGTTGTATAGATTTCTTTTTTGTTTTTATAGTTTTGTGTTTAGAGTTTCCTATTTAGTATTGGTGCTTTAATAATTTAGAATATTATATGTATATATAATTAATGAAATTAAGAATGAAGCCAAGTTGTAGCTCAACTCTTATTCTATGTTCTTAAATATCCTTGTGTATATTTATGTAATTGTTTATAATACTTGTGTATTATACATATTTAACAAGGATTTGAGACTGAAAATAATTATAATTAATTATTTTGTAAAAATAAAATTGTGATAGTTTTGTACTATGTTATGATAAACATATTTTGAAAAACTTGATAATCTGATTCATTCAAATGAAATCATTCCTACTAGGTATTATAACTTGATTTTTCTATTGGAGAAAAATTAAATTATGATTAGTTTCAATTAGTTGTGTTTACTGTATAATGTGTGCAATTGTGAACCATTAATCATATTGTTTGAAGAAGAAATTTTTTAGAGTTATTTTATAGATCTGACTTATGTTTTAATCATAACTTTATATTTTTTTAAAAGTATTATAAAGAAATTAAATTCCTTAAATAATTGTTTGGGAAATAGATGTCTCAAGTATTCATTAGTCATCATTAATATTACAAAGAAACAAAAGATCTCAGTTTATAATTACAAGGGTCTTCAAAATAGTCAGTGTATTCTATTTGTTTTATCTAAGCTTTGGAGTTGATTAATGGAGCAGATGATACGGAACCATTATATTTAAATGGTTTGTACAAGTAGTGAGACTAGCAGAGGATAATGACTTTAATAATTTTAGAGCAGTGACCGGAGATTTTCTAAATATAGAAAGGCATTCGAGTAAATATTGGTTAGAAGAGAGTGTTACTGTTTAATTAGAAGTAGAACACTGGGAAGTTGAAAAAAAATACTTTGAAATTCTTTTTAAGGCTGACGTATAACTTATGTTATAAAAGTCTACTGCCAAATCCTGTATTGCCTAAAAGCTAGGCAGAAATATTAATAATTAAACGAATAATAATTTGTATATACCTTTCATATTCATCGTAATGAATTCCTCACTTATTTACCTGAATTTTTCAATTCAGTCAGTATTAATAGCTCACCAGGCATGATGTGTTTGGATTGTTGGACTAGTGTTTGTATTAGTTAATTCAGATTAAGATTCATGACTAGGTTAATTTGACGTGTTTTTTTATAGGATGTTGAAATAAGTTTTTACAAAAATTAATGTAGCTTTATTTATTTACCCGACTAAGCAAAGAGAAACGAGAGAGTTATGTGTTTGAGTCGTCCGCTAAAAGCTATGTAACGCTTCTTTGAGCGAACGCCTGGATCGATTTTTAAGTTTAATGGCTCAAATTATTCGGTGAAAGGCTCTGAGTGTTTTGAAGCAATTTGAGCCAAAAATGGCGTCTACTACTAAATACTGACTTAAATAAAATTTGTTTAATCAATTTGCAAAAAGCTTTGTAACGCTGTTTTGAGTGAACGGCTGGATCAGTTTTTAAGTTTGATGGCTCAAATTATTTGGTGAGATTCTCTGAGTGTTTTGAAACAAGTTGAATTAATGCTACGGAACCGTGATTAATATAATGTGTTTAATGGATTTGCTGAAAGATATATAATGATTTTTTGAGAGAACGGCTGGATAGAGTTTTAAGTTAGAAATGTTATATTAGCCGGTGAGATCCCGTAAGGGTTTAGAAAGTGAAATGACCCACGGGTCATGTGTACGGGGTATCTGTTAAAAGGTATTTAACACTGTTTTGAGCGAACGGCTGGGTCAGTTTTTAAGTTTGATAGCTCAAATTATTCAGAGAGAACACTGAATGTTTTGAAATAATTAGAGCTAAAAACACTGACCCTTAATTGAATAAAATGTGTTTAATAGATTTGCTAATTGATATGTAATGATTTCTCAACTGTACGTCGGGAACGATTTTTATGTTTGATATCTTAAATTATTCAGTGAGATCCCTTGAGTGTTTTGAAAGAATTTCAACTCAATTCTGAAAATTACTCTGTAAAGTGTGTTGCATGAATCCGCTAAAAGATACATAACAGTTTTTTGAGCGGATGGCATGATCGGTTTTTAATTTTGATGGTTGTATTTACTCAGTTGAATCTCATGAATGTTTTGAAACAATTTGAGCTCAAGATACTGAGAAAATTATTATATCTTATTATATATTAGCTATATATTATTATAGCTTAAGTATCTCGATTGTACATTGATTTGAAATATCAAGTGGTCATATGTTATGCAAATGAATTATTGATATTTTGAAAACTATTAATGTAAAAAAAAAAAAAAAAAAAACCTGAATACAAAAATTGGAAAATTCTATCCACTCTAAGGGAATGTACTTGCATATCTACTTAAACATCTTGGTAGATTGATAGGGAAATTGACATCTACGAATATTTAAACATAGTGTAGTAGTCGGGTGCCTACCACCCCCGAACGACGAAACACCTCTAAAGATGTTGACATGCCCCGGGGGGGAAGGAGGGGAGGGTGCATGACATGTACAGGGACGAATTCTATTTGCTTGGAGTCATAATGTGTTGTGAAAGGCACCCGACTATTACACCAAGTTTAAATATTTGTAGATATTAATTTCCATATCGATCTACCAAGATGTTTAAGTAGATATGGAAGTCCATTCTGTTAAGGTGGTTAGAATTTCCCAATTTCTGCAGTCAGTTTTTTTTAATTCAAATATTTTTTTATTTCAATTTTTGTTGCATGCTCATCACTACGATCTGAATTTGAATGCATATTCATTTTGCATAATTTTTTTTAAAAACTTGAGTCGATAACTTAATGAAGCAAGTTATTCTAAATCTTTTGTCAAATTTCTATACTATATATTTGACAATCAATTAATTATTTTGCATATTTAGACCTAAAAGTCCTGTCATCATATTAATTCTGACACTGCCTAACTCAATTCTCACAATTTCACCAGAGATAAAATAAAACTGCTTGTGACTTTCTTCAAATTTATAGCATATTTCAGTCTTAAAGACATATTTTTGACATACACCTGGTTATCATTGGATCAGGTGTGAAGAAACTAATCCATTTAGCTATCAAACTTCTTTCAATCAAAAGTTGAGTGGGTTTGGGGGTGTTAAAATTAAAATGATAATGTATTATTCATATTTAGAATAATTGAATTTTGTTGATGGTTGATGTTAACTTTTACCAGTTATACTTCAAATGATAATATTATGTTTCATTCTAAATAATGTAAAAGTAGTTGTAAATCGGTCAATTATGAATGTTGGGTTTGAAGTGCTGAGAATCTTCTTGTTTTGAATGGGAGCTTTGTATGAAAGTTCTTCACAAAAAATGTCTGAGAGTGAGAAACAAATTGAGAAATATTTTCTGTAGTTGGACTCATCTACTGGTTTAATTTGAATTAACCTAAAAGCAAAATCTCCTTTTTCATTAAACTTAAATGATTGGGCCACATTGATTTAGATGAGTAATAAAATATTTTTACTATTAATAGAGAAATCGTATTTTGCATTGCTTGTCCAAATGGTTAATTTCCATCTGTCATTATAAAGAAACTAATTTCCTGTGATTCATCACATTATGTTGGGTTTTATGAAATACTTCTTTAACACATCTGTAGATGCAGGCTGAAAGACTTAATTCTGTATATAAATACTCATGAACTGACTGGAAAGAGAGTAGCTCAGTGAGTAAGGCACTGTGCTCCTATGTTCCAGGTCCCAGATTTGAGTCTGTGTCTGGCTTTGGCAGATAATTATTTATTCTGTTTCATAAACCGTGGATAGACCCTGGCGTTGGGTTACTTTCCTGAGGTACCCGGCCTCTTTGAAGTGGGTATTATTAATTAAATAGTTAATTAGGAGTCACCTGGCAACAGGCAGTTGAGCATGATCTTGGTCAAATCACTTCCTTACACATTTATTGATCAAGTAACAGCACTTTCTTATAAAATACTATACTCTTGACCCTCAATGGGTTGTAGTGGTACAATTTTTTTTTCTTTTCATTAACTAACACAAAATTCAGTTCACAGAATTTTGAAATGCTCGATTGCTAATTGGACTGTTTATTTTGAAAGTGGTGTATGTCCATTTTATCTTGTTTTGAGACAATTAAAGGTTAGCATATCTGCCAATTAAAAAATTTAGCTTAATTATATCATGTCTGGCAATCTACTGATTTATAAATATGTAATTTGAATATATAAATTTGTTTTAGGTGAATTTGGTTTTAGGTGCAAATGGACTCTCACAACTTTCAAAATTAGTCAATTATAAAAATCATTTAATTTCAATTTTGAAAAATCAAATATCACTTAAAATATATTTCATATTAATCCAATTTTGCTTACAAATAAAAAGATTTTTTTTTTTATTTATTGATGATATTTACTACTGTATTACAAGTAAAAATACATTCAGTAAATGTGAACAAAGGAATAAAATAGCATGAAATCTCATGTTGAGAAACTACCCTTTGGTAGCACTCTAAAAATGTATTTACAAAAGGAGATCTCGAGGCCATCTTCTTTTCAGACGCCTCTGAGGGTTGTCAGGGATCAAAGAGGAAGCAAGGTTAGAAACGAGAGGGTTTGGATGGTTCTGAAGTTTGTTATGGAAGGATAGGTATCTGGATTGGGCCAGGTCAGAAACATAAGGAACATTAAGGTCGTTATGGATGATTTTGTTTGTGACAAAATAAGGAGCAGTGAGGATTTTACGAAGGATTTTGGATTGTAAGGATTGAATACGAGAGGAATTCGATGGCTTAGTGGAGCCCCAGAGCTCAACTCCGTAAGTCCAAATAGGTCTTATTGTAGTCATGTATATGAGTCTTTTGTAATTGACTGGGAGGTTAGAGCGTTTGTCTAGTAAGTGCTGGAGTAGTCGGAAACGTCGAGCTGTTTCTTGTCGTTTCAGTCTGGTATGAGGATTCCAAGTTAGACGTTTGTCTAAGTGGAGTCCAAGGTATCGAATTTGTTCAACAGGGATAAGTGGGGTATTATTAAAGGATACTGTAGGACAAGAGGACATAGGTTTACGACGAAGGGTAAAGGTGATTTGATGGGATTTATTGGAATTTATTTTTATTCTCCAGTTTTGACACCATTCTTCAAGGTTTGTGATGTGTGATTGAAGGGTTTGGGTCGTTATTAACTGATAGGACACATGTATCATCGGCATACGTGGTAATGACTGTGTTAGGATGGGTTGGGATATCAGCTGTATAAACTGTGTAAAGGATAGGACCTAGGATACTACCTTGAGGAACACCAGCGGACTGGGTAAAAAGGGATGAGTAGGCATTATTATGATTTACTTTGAAGGATCTATCAGTAAGATAGGAACGGATAATGAGGAAGTATGTAGGGTATAGGAATTTACGGAGTTTGTAAAGCAGTCCTGGGTGCCAGACTCGATCAAAAGCCTGTTCTACATCGAGAAAGACTCCCGTGCAGTACATTCCGCGCTCCAATGCAGAGGAGACAACATCCACCACACGATGGCATTGCTGGATAGTGGAATGGGATCTGCGGAATCCAAATTGATGATCTGGGATAATGTGATTAGAATCTAGGATGGGGTACAGGCGTTTTAGGATGAGCTTTTCCAGGATTTTGCCTAGGATGGGTAAAAGGGAGATAGGGCGATAGGAGGATGGGTTTTCTGGTGGCTTTTTGGGTTTATGTATCATTTTGATAATAGATAATTTCCAAGGGTCAGGAAAGTATGTTGATCGCAGTACAGCAAATAAAAAGATAAAAAATAGAAATAGTATAGTATATGCAATAACATGACATTGAGCCGTTACATTTTATAAATGTCTCAAACAGCTAGAAGCTACTTCTTGCGATCACCTGGAAGCTGTAGTTTCGTTCTACATTATGGATGAAACTGTTGTTTATGGAAATTGGACTTACACCACTTTCATAATCGATGGTTATGCAATTTCTTTTACTGGCCAATTTTAAATTGGACAAGTTCGGGTATTTTTTAAGATATTAAATACTAAGTTATTATTATTATTAAATTAATAAAAAGTTTACACTAAATCAAGCATAAATAATGTGATATCATTTTCCTTTTTTAAATGGACTTGCACCACTTTCAAAATAAACATTCCAAATATTGTAAATACTCTCATATTGAAAATATTCAGTTTATGTTACTTTAGATGTTAAAATAGCTATAAAAATATTAAAAATTCGTAAATAATGAAAACAATCATTTATTTTGAAATAAAAAAAAAATTTTGTTCATTTTATGTACTTATTTCTCCATTTTTATCATTATTACCTTTTTCTACTATTTATGTGTCATTATTATGTATTTATTTATCTATATTATCATTATTATCTTTGTTCACTATTTGGGTGCATATTTTACATTCTTATTATTGAATATTATACTATGTTTTCGTGAGTCCAGCTCTAACAAAGGCCTGAACTTTGGGCTGAAATGGAGGCAAATATAAAAATAAATAACATTTATTTATTTAAATTTTTTTTTTTTATTGAGCACCCCAGCTAACTTCTATCCAACTACATATTTTTTACTTTAAAGGCGTATTATATAGCATATTTAAATGTCTTCTGTCACATGTATATTCCAGTCTTATTTATAACTATATGATATTTTATTTTTAATTATGTCTCTTTATCGGCTTCAACCATTAGAGCCAATAAAGTAACATATCATACAGTTATATTCTTCATATTATATGATATGTTAACCACTCAAAGTATTTGTTATCCTATCTCTACATCAATTATAACCACACCACTCCATTTTTATAAAATTGTATCATGATGAATATTAATTTTTTTTTTATTTAATAGGGTTTATAAAAAAAAAAAAAAGAAGACCGTTTTCAACCAAATATTTATATTATTATTTCTTTCATATAAAATACAATTAATACTCCATAATATGTCCAAGTATAGTCCATTGTTATATACATCTATGCCTTACAATTACGGGAATTTCGTAGGTTACTGTCATGTTTCCTTTTTGAAACAAATAACTAAACTGAGGCTTTTTTTGAAGAAGTAGAATAGGATTAAACAAACTTAGAGAATGCTCTAAAGGGATTATTAAGTATTAAATAGGATTCAAATATTTACAGTCCTTTAAATTTGATGAAATGGTCATTTTTTTTATACACCCTGTTATTACTAAATGGCTTGAAAACATTTTTTTTCTATTGTGTACTTAAACTTTTGTTTTTTGTTTAGTGGTTACTTTCCCAGAAGATCAAAAAGTTTGATCAATATTTTTTGTAAAATGTTATAAAAATATATGGCAGAATTGATAAAATGGGTTTTAATAAAAAATGTTTTAAAATTAATGGCTGTGGTCCATCATCAGTTTAAAAATAAATAATATTTTGTACAAATCTTTTTTTATACTCCTATATTAATTACTTATATACAGTGTCCCATAAATAAAAGGAAATGTTCAAAGAGCTGATTGTAGGCCTTAAGATCTACAAAATTTAATATTGATTATGGGCCAATTCCAGGCAAAAAGGGACACTCAAATTTTGTGTTTTTCAAAAGTATATATATATATATATCATAAGGTAGGGGTACCCATCCCTCCAAAGGTGGATGGCACAAGAACCTGCTCCCTCTCCCTCCTCCCAAGATATTTTATTGCTCACCTTTCTTTTTTTAAAACAGAGCAAGCTAAAGTGGAATTAGAAAAATAGTAGATCATATAAAATCACACTTGCTGCAGTATGTTGCAAGTTTTACCCTTGTTCCTTAGTCAGAAAATTCATAACCCCCTCCTCGAAATTCATCCCCCTCAAAAATTCAAAAACCTATCAAAATATGGCCCCCTCAAAAATATTGATGGCGCAACTTGTGCCATGAAACCTTCTTCTGGGCACTTCTGTCATAAGGAATCAATGACGAAAAATATGTTTATCACATGACACTATTGAAGTCCTAATTTTAACCTTCTGACTGGAACATCCGTCATTATGACACCTATATCTGCATTTTTTTTTTTTTTTTTTTTTTTTTTTTGCTTTCATATTTTAATCAAAATCCTATTTTGAACCTATATATGATAAATACGCCTGCAGAACACATTATAGCGTTCTCAAAGCGAGCTGTCTTTCTGTATCATCTTCAGCCCAGTTGCAAGCGATCAGGTAATATCAGAGGGAATATCGATGGCTGTTTTTCGGTAAGCTATGATTTATTGTTACCCCACATTGATGGGTGTTCCACTTGCACTAGATTTTCGTAGCTGTCAAAATGACAGGGTCTTCCATCTGGATCATTTTTGGATTGAGTTCGTTAATATTTCTACTTCTTTGGTCATTCGACTTCTAACTAAAATACTTCCAACTACTACTACTAGGGTACTAAGGGTCTGACGCGTGTACTGATAGTGACGTCGACTCTTTTCAAGATGTATCTAAGTGAATCTGTCAAGCAATGGTTTCGTCGGCACGGAGATGTGGGAACATGGATTGGAGATGAACAGCTGGTGTCTCTCTTTTTCGCCGATTGTCAGGCCATATTCGCGCGCAAAAAGATGTCTTTGGAAGGGATGATGGGCTCACTATGGGCATGTTATGTGTCTGTGGGGCTTAGGATGAATCTCAAAGACAGATACTCTTCGCGTCAATTCTCAGACCTGTACAAAGGTGGATGTATTTAAGTATCTGGGATCTTACCTTGATTTCTCGGGATCTTCAGAAATTGATGTGTGGAGCAAGCTCGAAAAGCCACACGCCACATCCTGTCTTGTGGAACGACCGAGTTCTAAAAAAACAAGCGAAGGATATACCACGCCATCATAGAACCCATCCTGACGTATGCAGCTGAAACTTGGACCATGTCATCCCAGCTCTATTCAAAGATACTAGCTGCGGAAATGGATTTTTGGAGGAAATGCCTACGTGTGATAAGGATGGATAGAATTAGGTACGAGATCGTAATGGACAGGATGAAGGCTGCTGTATCCGTCAACCAGAGAATTGGGCTGTGAAGGCTGATATGGAACGGCTATATAAGACGAATATCGACCGAGCGATGACCTAACTGAATTCTAGATTGGCAACCGCCGGGAAGATGGAAGCAAGGACGACACAGAAAAAGATGGACGCATGAAGTGGAAGAGGAGATGGCTGGCCGGGGTCTTCAAGATGGAGATTGGCTTGACCGCGACTTCTGTCTGAAGCTCAGCCCTGACGAGAAAGGCAAACCTCGTTGGAACGCCTATATAATAATAATAATATACACAGATGCATCCTAGGAAGCACTAGCGGATCCAGGATTCAATTTTGGGGGAGGCTTCAGCCCGAATGCTTTTTTTTATAAAAATGGCGATAATTACCTATGAAAAAAAGAAAGAAACTAGCTATCTATATGAAATAGTGTTTAAGTGATTCCTTAAGTCCTTTTAAATGTAATTACACCAATAATAATACTTTAAGAGATAATTTTTTAATATATTTTCCCATAAAACATAGTTATATTTTACCATTTTGGGGGGGCTTCAGCCCGAAAGCCCCCCCCCCCCTCCGTAGATCCGCCCATGCTAGGAAGGAAACAATGTAGGATGTGCTGTAACAAATAAGGAGAATGAACTACTATTTAAACTGCCAGGTGAATGCATTTTTACGAGAACGAGTCACTACTATGATTTTTTTAAGTTAACAGAGTATTATAAAATTATATAAATTGCAGTAAAACGCCAATGACCCTTGAGGATAGAGGCGTCAAAGAAAGAGAGAGAGTGAGTTTGTGTGTGAGAGAGAGAGAAGGAGAGTGTGAGTGAGAATTAAATCAAGGGTGGACCGCTCTCTCCTTCTCCTCCTAGGGACACCTCTGATTCTATATTAAAGTTTAATTAACCAGCTATTTGGGACGATTGGGTTCGAACTAACACTTCATTTGTTTAGTATAAATTGATGTTAAAACTTCATCGAATCAAACAAATTGATATCAGGTGGAATGTTAGCGTACTTGTAATTCTGCTGTTGCTTTAACGATTGTTGCAAGATAACGTTCTACTTGAAATTAAATAGAACCTTGTTATACTACAAACACTTTTTTCGATTTTGTCAGTTTTAATCTAGTCATCTCAAAGGATCAAAATATCCTAAATAGAACCTGGTCATTCTAAAAAGACTTTTTTTTTAAATTTTGTCATTTCAAAGGATCAAAATATCTACAAGGAGGTCCAAACACCCGTTTATTTTGCTTTCAACTTTATTTTCCACTTTTATAACTATATATTAAGTTTCGATCTCCTTGGTTTGCCGTAGTAACAACAGTGTTACCTCTTACTTCAAAGAAAGGTATGCGAGATTGTTTACTTGTTAAGAAGTGCTCATTTTGGCTTTAAAGGAATTTTCGTGATATGCCAGATTACTCTTTCACTATTTATTCATTTCCTTGAAAGATGGTAAATGAAAACTGGGACCAAATAGCAGAAGATCTTGAAAAACAAGAGCTTCAGGTATGTGTTGTTTTAAGATTCCTCAGGTATCTATTGCTGTGATGTTTTATTTTTCTATATTTATTTTATAATTGATATTATTTTTTGTGAAGTTATGATCTATATTAATTTAGGCTCAAGGAGGAGTTTCTTCCCCTCAACTTTATGGCCAGCTTTTGGCTATCTATTTATACCAAAATGATCTGTAAGTATTTTTTGTATTCGTATAATTTTTATTTATTACCGTAGTTGCATCGATGTAGTATTTCCTGTTTTCATTGAAAGGAATATTTGGTATTATAATAGTGATTTCAAGATAAAATAGTTTGTACAATTTATTAATACAGAATGGTTTTTCTTCATTATGCAAAATTTTAAATTTTAATGCCTTCTAACTTAATGGATGTATAACTATACTTTTCTAATGTTTTCCACAAGAGGGTATAGTTATACCAGAAAAAAATATTTTTGTTTTACAATTCTGTGTTGCAATACATTATGATTCAATAGATAATGAATATCATGATATTGCATACATTTTATTGTGCATTTAAATTAAAAAATAGTATTTTTTGTTTAGACTTATATCAGTGTTGGTTTGTTAAAAGAGTGAGTATTATCTTACAATTGTTGCTCCACTTTGATGGGTGTACTCAAGTTCTAATTATCACACAGTAAATGAGGTTCCAAGTATTGCTGAAAGTTGATAGGAAGCTGAACCGTCTGGTCTCAATTGAAATGTAACCATTGGGGTTTGTCTACCCTTTCTAATTGGGCGGAGGTTGATAGTAGTGATGTAATTAAAACTAATTAAGATTTCAGTTTTAACTGTAAAGGACCAGTTGGGACTTTGTACAAGTTGTTAATTGTGATCGTAATACAGAATGGTTATTCCTGTAAACCCCTTGTCATATCACTCTCTGAATTCCATTTATATTGGGATCATGATTTTGTGGCCACCTATCAAATTGAATACAATTATAACTAATATATAATTATAGTTAATCAGAGAATATGACGGAGGAATATACGAACGTGGAAGTTTGTAAGTCAGTAATATGCCATATTTACACGTAAATAGCTCTAGATGCCATCAATATGAAAATTAGAAAATCCAAAAATATCATTTTGTTGAATTTTTACCCTATATAGAACATTATAAATATGGCTACAATGTTAATTAGTTTTACCATGTCGTTTCGTTAAAGATCTTTAAAAAATTGTCCATATCATTATTTAACATTCCCGCTTAAGTATGATGTTTTATTTTTAGATGCAATGCGAAATTTCTGTGGAAGAGGATACCAAACAATATTAAAACACAGAATCCAGAACTTGGAAATATTTGGGCTGTTGGCAAAGCAATGTGGTTGAGAGATGCCGTTGAAATACATAAAACGCTAAACAATACTCATTGGTCCGATAATGTTAGTTCCATTATTAAAGCTTTAAAAGGTTAGTATGAACATATAATATGATACATATTTAGAAAATTGTTGTAAGTTACAAATGTTTAAAACTGTGCAATAATAATTGAATCATTCAGTGGTGAAATCTGAAACTGACCTCCTACTTTAGATTATTTTTTCTCCTAAAATAGTTAGAAGTTACTATCTCTGCATTATATGTATGATGTAACATGATTTGGATGATCCGTTACTATATCTGTTATCGAAAATCCCCACTTTTCAGCATTTAAAAATTTAAAGCGACTTTGTGAATTAGTGCTTTTCGCCACCAAAAACAATAATTTTTAGAGAAGTTCACCTTAACCTATTTACTAGTAGAAAAAAAATTAACTTAATTAAAAATGAAATACTAATCTGAAACATGATTATTAGAATGATTTAGCTAATTTATTTAAATCTAGTTATGACATATAACTTTTATAATATTAATAATAGCATTTTATAATTTTTTAAATATTTTTTTTTCTTGTTATGTTTACAGAACTTATTGATTTTTTTCTGACTTACCTGGTTCATTCGATTTTTTTTTACCTTTCATGTGGTTTCTTGCCTACAATTGAGGCATTCATTGTCGTGTTGAGGCTTCCTAATGGATTGCTGCAATATATATATTCTGTCCGAATTAACCTCATTGCCTTCATATCATGAGATATTGATTGACCAGTTTCTGTAAGTAGTTCATTATTGGTTCTTCTCGCCCATGTGTCTGTACTCTGATCCCAGATCAATCTGATTATCGGGTGGATGAGTTTTCTCATAAACTTCTCAACACTTTTTTCTAGGGTACTGAATAGTATCTAGGACTTGCAGCTGTATTTCAGAACTTGCTTTTTCATTTCTTGAGATTGGGAAATTTCTTCAGATTTTTTGGAATTTAATTACTGTTGAAAGAGAGAAAAAATACCCTGTTTTTGCTTGTGCACTGATCTGTTTCTGACTGTTAGCCATTGAAGTTATTGTGTATTCAAGTTATTTGAATCTTTCTACTCTTGAGAAAATTTCCTTATATGCAGATCTCCTGTTGAGGTTTTTGGCTTATTATCATACATTTTTTGAATTAGTAGTAGTCAATCAATCAGGTCTTTTTCCGCTTCTTTAAACAGCTCTGAGTTTCGATCTCTGGCACCTTTCTAGTTTTAAACCTTTCGTTTGCTATTTCTGTTTCCAGTATATTTGGTTTTTTCAACCTCTTTTAGGCTGAGGTCCTCAATATGATCCATGTTTTCTTTGTTTGTGCATTCCCCTTGATTGAGAAGCTGCTGGAAGTGTTCTTTCCAGATGTTCAATATCTTTTCTTTAGATGCAGTCAAGATTCCATCTTTTCTTTGCATTTTTATATTTCTTGCTTTATATTAACTTTTCTTTCCTAATTTCTTCTCCATCTCCATCCTTTCAGTTGCTCTTAATGTTTTACAATGTTAATGTAATTGTATAATTTATATAAAGAGTATTTGTATTTCTGTCAAAGAAATCTTCCTTTCCTTTAATAATTTTTTATTTCATATATTTTTGTCACATATATAAGTGTCATACTGACAGTGGGTGAAGTTTACTTTTCTTAAAATAAAACAAATTAATATATGAATGAGGACATAAGGAATGAGGTGTATAAAATAATATATATATATATATATGTATATGTATATGTATATATATATATATATATATATATTATATATATATATATATATATTATATATATATGACTGTTTTAATGACTGTAACATTAACATTACTATAAATAGAACAATTTATACAGTGCAATATTGTTCATATAACCTATTGTTGAATTTTATATGCTTATATAAAATTATTTAAAAAAAAAAAATTCTGAAGATGGAAGAAACATTGAAACGTGGATGTATTTATTGGACAGAAATATACGAAGAATTGGAAGATTTTTTTTGCAAATGAAAATAGTACTATTATTCTTCCTTAAGATACATGTTATAACATTAGTTATACTATTATAAATAACACACTTTTCTTTATACAGACCCATTAGTCTGCTCCGAATATGTTCTAAAATCTTTGAGAAACTTCTCTTCAAGAGACTTCTTGACATAATGACAAACTAAAGTATAATACCCGAACATCAATTTGAATTTTGAAGACACCATTCAACCATTCAGATTTTTCAATCAAAAACTTTCGGGACTGTCACCAAGGCTCCCTGGTACGTCAGTAACATTACTTTACATAAAGACCTAGAGATACCAACAGTTAAAGACCATATATGAACATACTACAAAAGATTTCACAATAACTTATACGGACATACCAATTCACAGGTGTGTCTTCCCAACAGGTTTGAGTTTAAAAATAAAGTTAACAAAAATTAATAAATATAACATTTAAGGAGATAAAATGTTTAACAAATTTTAGCCTTTTCCGTACATTGGATGTGCTTAGCTACCTTGCTCCGGTTTGAAATTAATCACATTATTTTAGGTTGATAACATCGTAGACCTTCATCAGGTGAAAAAAAAATAATAGAGGAAAATAGACAGAGTAAAGAGAAGAATGAATTTATCTTAATTATTTACCTATTAAACTAATATCCGTTACTTAAATCATAATGGGTGATAAAAGTAATTTATAAAGATTAGATCTTAGATGCTTCTATACAACAAAATTCTACACTGCTCTTTTTTAAGTGTATTTGTGACCAATAGAAATATTTTAAATAAATTTTTAAAAATAGTTTTTGGGTATTCACTTAAAACATCCATCTATCTATAAAGGCCAGTATCCCTATGTCAAATTCTATCTTCATGTGAGATGTGTGTTTCATGTTAAATTTATAAAAGATATGATTATGTCTTTAATATTTAATTTATAAAAGTTATGATTGATATACAATAAAACATTTTTTTTCAGATCGAATCAAAGAAAGAGGAATAAGATTGATTGGTCGTGCCTACTCTTCAATAAACGCTGATGTAATGGGCTCATTGCTTGGGATGAGCTCCATAGAAGCTGTTGCCCTGGCGAAGGAAAAAGATTGGCAGATTGATGGAACCTCGATCAAGCCCAAGCAGATAAGTCAAATTAGTCCGCCTCTCACGTCAACAGAGCACCAATTGCATAAATTGACAAGTTTTGTATCGTTTTTAGAAAATTAAGTTGTATGTTTTGTTGTTTTTCCCACTCGATCTTGTACAAGTTATGGCAATTCGGACAGTACATGAGTTATTTTTGTAACTAAGAAGGATGTTTGAATAACTTAAATGCTGATGTATTTTGCCTTTAGTTTTTCCAACTCACTTTGTTAATTTTTTCATGAAAGAAGGCATCATTTTATAAGATTTTTCAGTAAATATAATTTTTTTCTTGTATTTCATGATTAGTTATTTGAAATGTTTATAAGTTGGAATAATAGTTTCATGCTTTATTTCTTCTTTTCATGTACAAAATAATTAAATTAAATAGATCGTTTCTACTATTTAATTATTTCTTTATTTTGTACTTTTTTTCTCCTCTCTTAAATGAAAAAATACTATAGGAAATGATTTTTCTTTTATAATACTGTTAAAAATATTATTATGGTTTATATTGTTCTATCCAGCCTAATAAAATCAATCAGCCTTACTTTTTATTTCCTAGTTCCCATTAATCTTTGTTTTTTATTTCGCATTAATCTTTTATTTAGAATTTACCATTCATATTTTTTATTTACATATACTAATGAATAGTACAGCATCAGGAAATAAGTTCTTACATACAATTAAATAAAATTAATTTTATATAAATTTCAATATAATCTATAATAAATTGTCTGTTGAGGAGCTGCTCCTATAGTGACATGTTTCTAGAGCATTTTGGTTCAAATCCAATACAGTAGTATTCTCAGTGAAAAAAGTCTTACTGTATATCATAGAAACAGCATCATCTATTTCTTTTACTCCTTATGTACCTCTTATTCCTTTTCCTTTCATTCCATTCCTCATTTTTGTTTTCATTTATTTATTTAGACTACAAGCAATCTCAAATTTATCAGTTCAATTTTAACTATCACCTATATAAAAGCTGTATTCATACCCGATTTCAAGCAATTATCAACATCAGAAATAATTAAAACTATTTCATGAAGGGGGAAAATCTTAAAAGGATATGGTACCACCAATCAAATAGTTCTGAAAAAAAAATATCTCAGGGCACCACAAAGTGAAAAAAGATACTGGTAGGAGAAAAAAAAATTGGACCAATTAATGGTGCAGTCGTCTTTACAAGATTGCTTCAAAACTGCCAAAGAATTATCCAGAGATCTAGCAGATAGTAATCTGTCGTATATGTCAAGAAATTGTCGCTTGAAGGTTAAAAGAAAACAGTTTATGAGCCAAAAAACCAGCAAAACAAAAAAAAAATGTTTTTAAATAGAAGGAAATGAAAAAAAAAATATATAACTGAAATGGGCAATAAAACAAAGAAACTGGACACAGAGTATTTGTGAAAAGTAATGTTTTCAGATTAATGCAAACTTAACATCTTCAGTTGTGAGGATACTCCTCACTACTAATGAAAACTGCACATTAAAAACAGTGAATCATGGTAAGTGTTATGATCTGGATCTGTTTTTTCTACTTTGGAATAGTTCCAATAATGTTAATTGATGGTTATAATTCCATCAAAACCAAAAAATATAATTCCGTTAAGCCTAGAAACAAATGAAAATCGCACGGTACTCTTAGTTTTTCTCTAAAACATCTCTAACCAGTCTTTGACAGAGGTGTCAATCACTGGGTCTTTGTCCATTACTGGGCACATCATGACCATCAGGACATGTCCATCAATTTTACCAGTGTTAATAGAATCTTTTGTTCTCATTTGACTGTAAATACACAGTCAAATATTTATAAATCATATAAGTACATGTGGCATATCACACAATGTTATTCCTACCAATTCTCCAAAAAATTATTTATTAAATTGGCTTTAAAAGATCTTTATTATTCATTTTTTGTTTTAAAAATTAAAAATCAAATTATTCTTCAGATAACAATGTAAACTTTTTCTGTAGAAAAAAAAGTATTTTAGTTATAAAATAAAAAGAGCAGTCTTTGCAATAGAACAGATTCAAAAAGTTCAAAACACCATTTCATTTCTCTGCTCCAAGTTTGATTTTGATAATTTTTCTTTTATATATATATATATATATATATATATATATATGTATAAAATTAACCAAAATGTGTGTACTTTTTGGGTAGTAAAGTAACCATTTTGTTTTCTTGATTAAATATAATGCTTCATTATTGAAAATAATAAACCTAAAATATGAAGAGTCTGTTTATAGGCTTATAGAAAAATTGAGCGATTCAGACATTAAGGTTCATCAAATTAACTCTTGTAATCGTCTGTATTTGTTGAACATTAGTCGAGAAGTCAGTATTATATTCATCAAAAATATTATACATGAATTGCCTAAACTCAATAGTTTTTGGAATCGAAGGTAACCAAAGTCACCAATATTCCTGAAATATACATGTTCACTGTTGAACATATATTCAGCCATTATAATGTTAATATGTGATATGAAAATAAGGCTGTGTAATTAGTTGTTAAAATAATATTACCTATTATGTAAGCATCCCAAGATTTTATGATTAATGTTTTATATATTTTTGTTTACACCATAAACAAATTAATTAAAATAACTGTAATTATCGTTTTTTCTAGTTTAATTGAGATTTTAGAATTTTTCTGAAGTATGTCCATTACTGGTACCGAGATTGTTAGCATTGTTTTCCAGAAAATAGTCACAATGTGTAATGAATTTAAAGTAGCATTTCTGGTTAATCGATTTTGGGGAAAAATCCCTTTAAATTATCGATTTCCTGAATGTAATTGTCAAATAAACAGGGATTACTCGTTCTCGATTGGTAGTAAATAAAATATAAACAGAATTGCTCAACAAAAGTAAACATTTTATTAGTTCGAGTTTTTAATTTCAGATACTTCTGATAGTGTTTAGTGCTTGTGGGTTCGGAATGTTTATTTTTTATTCAAATTAAATATTTATATGTATAGGCGAATGTAAAGCAGGTATGACGTACAAAAAATATTTTTGCACTATTTGAGTAAACACCAGGTCTATAACATCTTATATATGAATGCTTCTAAAGTAGAATTCTCTGTTCTAAATTCTCGCATTCAAAAACTATTTAAACTCCCGGCTTGCTCATTCTTAACTGGTGAAATGGTAACGATAAGAGAACCTGTAATAAACAACTGAAACTACCATTTGGGCCGTGGAAACGAATTCTATGAGTGCATGCCTATGAAAACATCAGACCAAAAACTACACCGACGAAAGAAATAAGAAAGAAGGTTACTAAGAGAGAAGGTCAAAGAAATATTGTTCATATGGGTTGCTCCTTACAACGGGATCACTAGAAATGAACTGCAGGCCAAATTGATAATATGACAAGCCGGAAACAACTCTGGTTGTACCAATTAATAAAGTTTCTTTAGAAGGCTTCTTTAAAAAAAAAGAAAAAAATTATGGGTAATTAGACCGAATAATATGGTACAAAAAGAGTCTAAATTAAGGGAAATAAAAAAACACTGTTTCAAATAAGAAATCTCTCACCAAACCTCCTGGAAAGAAAAAACAGACCTCTGCTGACAAGCAATGAGTATGAGTTCTTACAAGCCGATTTACGAAGAGGACTTGATCCTCCACTCTGCGAAAACTACAATGTCCAAAGAGCAGTTTAACACGTTTTACAAGACTGCCCATTGAGTTTGAAATTCATTTGGGAAAAATGGATATGACACAAAATCTAAAAGAAAATTAAAACGAAAGCGAAAAAGCTGTAAAACAAAACAAAAAACAATCGCATTGTTTAAAACTAAAACTCTATAGCAAAGTTTAATTTGATGGTGTTGCCAATAGATCCCAATGATATGGGAGACTGCATGGTTGTGACAGTTTTCATTTAATTACTCATGCTTTTGTTAGTATACTAACTAGCTGGAAAAAATTGGTTTTTATAATAAAGTGTGGTTGGAGTATTCCATACTTCCATTCCATAGTTTTGGTAAGTGGTATGAAACAAGGTTATGTGTAAATTACATGAAAATTAATTTATTTACTTTGAGACAAATATATCCTCATAATAAATTACAGTAATGATACACAGTGACAGATCGTTTAGGTCGTGATGACCAAGCGTGTTAAGGTGTAAACTTTGACATTCTCGTGCCTAGGGAGGCGGTGAAAATTTATTTTCCGGTGGTCCCACGGATTGAATCTCGACCTTCCCACTCTGGTTAGAATAACTTTGGTTGTACCTCTAGAACAACCGTTCCCCCATACGTCAGAAATTGTGAGATTGGAGGTTATAAAAGAAAAAGAAAGAACAATTGTATATTATAAATACCATTATTATTTAATTTTCATATATTTAAAAATAAACTGCTTTTATTAAATAATATATAATATTACATGCTGTCTCAATAGAGGGGGCTGGTTAATGTTAAGAAGAATTCATCTACAACCACACTTACAGAAAATACAAATAAAAGCAAAATAATAAACAAAAAGAATAGAATATAAAAATCAAATTTTAAATTTAAACTGAAAGAGAAGTAAGCATCTTAAACACTGGTCTACAATATACATTTTATATAATAATAAAATGATTATGAAAGTTAATTACTGTTTTAAAATATTCACGTCAATTTTAGGCAAAAGGAAATTGTGATTTTTGCAGGGACTGAGTTGGACAAAGGAGATTTTAGTGTTGAGAAGGCGGATGTATTGCTGACTTTTAGTAGAGTTTCTAATTTTATTTGTAAAAAAAAAAAACTATAACATAAATAATAGTTCAGATTATAATATAGAAACAGTGAAAAGTATTTGGTGCTGTAGGTCGTTATTAATGCTACTGTTGTCGTACTTTTTTCGAGGGCACATCGATACCGAAAGCACAACACACCTCGAGACCAACTATTAATGGCCACTTGAACCATCCCATCATCCTCTATCGCTACATCTAACTGGGATGGAGTTGAAGGCTGTGGTAGCCCTTGGGACAAGGAAGAGGAGAGCCGACCTTGCAGAGGATCACGCCAGCAGAACGGTACCTAGGTTCTGGCCAGTTATATTAAAATGCAGAACGGTTACGTGATGCAAGAGCCGGACCTACTGGCTCGCCTTGAGGATGAGACTTGCTCCGTAGGACCCCGCTGTCATCCCATGTAGTCCCCCAGCAGTCCCACGCATTCTCCGCTAATTGGTCTACTTATAACTGTTGGAAATAGGATGTCGCGGAAGAAACATACTTAAAGTATTTTGT